ATAAAAAACAAACGTTCGGAAAAACACACTTAAAGCTTTGCAGCACACACTTAAAGCCATAAGAATAGTGTGACCGAACCCTCGGTAGAGTTAGCTTTGTTTATTTACTGTTGTCATAAGAAGCTTTTTAATATTCTAAGTAGTATATATTTTCTTAATCAGGAAGAAACGAAGATTAATTTTAGATGAAAAACAAAAATTTAATTTTTTAAGGCATAAAAGGTTCAGTCTCCCCGAGGAATTGGAATTAATATCGTTTCTTGAATCAAAAAAACATAAGCCAGTGGTTTGACTCCAATTTATTAAATCTCAATCCCAACTAAACTGAATTGCTCCGTTTTTCCATCAAGGCAATCGACTCACAACTATTCTTTTAGATGACGTGGAAATTGAGTCGTCAGAAGGTGTTAGGTTCTTTGGCTTAATATTAGACTAACACCTTCGTTTTTATGACCATGCCAACAGTGTCTGGATTAGGATTGGTTCTGGAATCTTTTTGTTAAACAACTGTCCTATTTATTCTGTCTTTATGACAGCCTATTATGGGTCATATACCCTCATCTGGTATATGCAGTGCCGGTATGGGAAATGTGAATAAAAGGGCCCGATTTTTTATTTCGGCATCAAAATTATCAATCAATTTTCAAATTCAGCTCACGAACTTCCTGCAAAAACTTTTTTCAAAATAGTCTTCAAATATTTCAATTTTTCCAGGCATATACATCCTTGAAAGACTATCTTTCCTTTTGAAAGACTAAGTTCCAGGACATGGCAATATTCTTTGCGAAACAATTTCAATCTACAGATTCCAAAGCATTCAATCACCTTTTTCAAAAAAACATCTTCATTATAACGTTATAGTGCTTTTTAATGCATTGCCAAACTATCTAAAAATTGAGTTAAACCCTGTTATTTTGTAATAAGATCACATCAACAATTGCTGGTGTCTAAATGCTTCTCCCACGTCCATGATTTATTGCTGACTGGTAGTCATGGACATATGGTGTACTTTGTTTATATGAATTGTTAAACGTTGTTCAGTTTTTAAAGTTTTTTTTTTTATAGGAAGACAGATTGTATTATTAGATAGTAATTTCTGACTTAGCCAATGCATTTATGTTGATCTGGCTAAATAAACACCTTATGACTTTATGAAGTTTTTAAAATAATGATTATGAAACTTGATAACGTTTTTAACGTAAACAAGACCTAAATAAAAAAATCCTAATTAGTAATTTCAATGAGTGGTGATTTTAATTTTTATAAAACTTTATAAATAACTTAAAATTTGATACTTTTATAAAAAGAATGCCAAAAACACTCTTATTTAGCATTTAAAACTCCCTATTGAACGACGCCAAGATCTAAAAGATCGGATGACAATAAATGAAATAGATAGTTTTGTTAATGTAAAAATAAGGCAAAGTTTGTCAGTGTGCACATTATTTTGCCTTACCTTACAACTTATAACCTTTTTCCTATTCCATCCTGATCTCCTTTATCTATCTTTGCATGTTCCTAAGCTTTCTATTTACTTCATTGTTATTTATTTTTTCCTACAGTTACCTAACAATGTACATGTTATCTCACTGATTTGAGAAAGCAAAGTGACCAATTAATTCGCTCATCAGTTAGACAATGTTAATATTGTCTCACTCTAATTACTTTGTCTCACTCACTCTAGATTTGCAACGTGAAGGCACGAAATAGTGAGCGCGTAACATGCAGACAAGGTCGTATGCGCGAAATACGTTGGCAGCACTGGCTGTAAATAAGCTGGTCAGCTGTTGTACTGTTGTATCATTAAATGTAATATTAAAAGTTCACTTCTGTGTAAAAATATGTCACGTTTCTTTACCAATTTATTTGTTTTATGGTAACTGTAGGAAAAATATAAAGTGCAACTCGAGTGCAAACTGCAATTGCCTCACTCGAGACACCAATACTCACTCGCCTACGGCTGGTGAGTAAGTTCTCCAGCCACGACATGTCGGTCGTCAGTTTTCAAGCCGTGCACGTGCTATAATTGTTTTTGTGTATTCGTGTTTTCGTGTGTCCGTCCTGTACATATATGTGTATTATTTATTTGCCCCATGACGCAATGCAAATGAAGAAAACTCGTGTTAAATGTGACAAGAATATAGTTTAGTGTACCACTACGCACCTGACGATGGAGTCATCTCCGAAACGGCCGTAGTGGAATATTACTCCTGATTGCGTTGACGGTAAGAACTTAGATATTATTATTATAAGTATTTATCTGTTTTTTTATCAACATTGTTCTGCCTCTATTTACTCAAGTTGCATGGTTTCACTGTATTGCTGTCATTATTGTTCTATGTTCTTATACTAGTTTTGTTTTTGTGAATCTATTGTATTGTTAACTTGTTTTGATAGTTTGACATTTATAGTTTTATCATTATTTGAGGTTATCGTGTAAGTCTTGTTCTTAAAATCATGTTGTTTCTAGTCTTTTTCACTACTTTTGTACTGGCCAGTCGTTTGTCACAAAGACACACTGTATTTTCTATGTATTTTCTTCTGTATAAACTTCTCTGTATTTTCTATAAAAAAACCGGCAAATAAATAAATACATAAATAAAATTTATAATTCAGTCATTCGTCATCCGATCTTTTTGATATCGGTGTCTTTGATAGGGGATTTTCAAGGCTAAAAAAGTGTTAATGTTGATTGTAAAAAAATTTTCCTTGTTTAAGTTATTTAATCTAAACAAATTAAAACAGACGCCATTTGCAAATTTTTGATTGTACCGACCTAGATATTTCCCATAACATAGGACCCTTACCGATAACATATATACCTAGTTTCATAAAGATCTGTTTGAAAACTCTACAGTAAGAATGTTAATATGTATTTTAGAACATAGCTTTACATACCTACACTTTTTTCTTTCTTTTAGTATAATAATCTATATACAAAAGTCCAAAAACGTATTTTTTACACCCTGTATATTTCTAATTCTTAAGCATTGAATCAATCACGTAATTGGTCAGGATGAAAAGGAAACAGTCGAATTTCACAAAACAATTCAGTTTAAAAGGTTGAACAATATGAAAGAAAATCACACTAACTTCCCTATTTTACAAAGTCTCAGTTTTTGTATCACGGACAAAATGTTTTCCACGTGGCTTTTATAAACGTTTCTTTTATCAAATGTTGATTTCACAACATTTTTTAGTCAACATCATTGTAAATTATATTTTCATTTGCATACACTAACGCAGAAAATTCCGGTAAAAAATGCACCCGATTGAAATATGACTGCAATGATTGGAATGCATCATTAGTGGGTTGTGGAGCGTCATTATTGTGGAAAAGCTATGTCAACAACTATAACCTTTAGGTCCTATGTTAAGCGTATATTCCAAAATTTTACTTTATATTTGTCCATTATATGGTAGAGTTACTCGTGGATATTAAAACCAATTATTAAACATACAGGGTGATTGAAAAGTCTGGGTACGGCTTAATATTTTAAAAAATAATGCAGATAGAGCTAAAATACTTGGTACAAAGTTACAGGTCATAAAACTCTATTTTAACACATATTCAGTGATTCAATAACTCTCAGAGGGACGTCCAACAAGGAGTCAGAAGAAAATCTTAAATGGAAGCATAGGGCAATATGCACATCAAATTAAAGGTCTTTTTTAGTAAAATACAATTCCGCAAACCGCACTTCAAAAGGTTGATCCTGCGCAAAATGGCAGATGTTCAAAGATTTCTTGAATCCGCCATTTTGAATCTTTGAACGGCTGCCATTTTTTACTCAGGCATTCTTTTGAGCTTGAATTTACGGCATCGTAATCTAAAAGTGAAGACCTTTAATTTGATGTGCATATCGAACTATTCTTACGTTAACAATTTTCTTCCGATTCCTAGGGCTGTGCCCCCTGAGGAGAAAGCGTATAATAGCAATGTAAATTAAATGAATCTTTGAACAACTGTCATTTTGCGCAGGATCAACCTTTTGAAGTGCGGTATGCGGCATTGTATTCTACTAAAAAAGACCTTTAATTTGATGTGCATATTGACCTATGCTTTCATTTAAGATTTTCTTCTGACTCCTGGCAGGCCGTCCCCCTGAGGAGGTAGCGGATCACCGGATATGTGTTAAGATAGATTTATATGCCTTATAACTTGATTCCAAGTTTTGTAGGTCTACGTTTATTATTTTGCAAAATATTAAGCCGTACCCAGACTTTTCAATCACCCTGTATAAATAGTAAAATTAAAAATGATTGAGATTATAGGTCAAAATTGGAATTCAAGGTAATAACTGCTTCACAGTCTTGAAAAAAATACTTTAACTGTTTGTCATGTATATAATTAAATGTGTATAAATAGTTAAGTTAAAAAGCGTAGCTCTATGTTGGAAATGTATAAAATACTGTTCCCTAAACGCCATATTTAGAGGAAACAGATCAGTTCAAATTAATATATATTAATTTACAGTATAATTTGAAACTGTTAATTAAAAAAAAAAAATTTATCTTACAAAACAAATTCCAATTACCCAATTAAGGATAATATTATTAATGATCCTGGAATTACGGAAAGTTCTTCTCGTTGGCCTTAAAATTTTTTTATCATATCTGTATTTAACTAGTAATGTAAATATAACTTATATATGCTTACTTAAATTTTATTGCAGATTATAATAATAGTCTTACAAGGTTCTCTAATTAAAAAACGGGAAACGGTGCGAGTGCCATTCTATTCAAATTAAACTCTTGAAGTTTCAAAACTACTTATTATTAAATTAAAATAAACAATTATTTTTTAGGTAAATCTTTTTCAAATTAAATCACAAATCCTTTCTATCCTTTCTTTCACTCACAATAAATGTTAGCAACACTGACATCAGCTGTTATAAACTGTTATGAAGAGATCAATCTTGATAGGTGCTCTAATGTGCCTTGCGTTGGCTGCGGCATGCAATAAGACAGACAGGAATTGAAATAAAACTCGTTACGGCTTTCCTTAAAGTCTTGAAATACAGTATATTTGTTATTTAGTGATTAAGAAAGGTGAAGTAAACAAATCAAGAATGATTAACTTTTATTTTTAATCCAAAGGTTTTTTGGAGCGACTCATTCCTCTCTTATTGGAATGGACAATCATCCCAGGCATCTTCCATTGTTGAATCAACCTCTCTTAAGTAAATTATTTTATACAACTGAAAATTAAGAAATTAATTGATCAAACAGTCTTCGGTAAATATCAGGAAAAATATGTATGTATATATTCTAAAATATGTCGAATAAGTAAAACAACTTCAAGAATTCTTTTAACAGTTTAACTTAACAAGTGTAGTTGTTGTGGAAATTTAACTAGTGACAGGTATCAATAATTCTACAATATAAAAACAAATATGTCCGGTTAATATTTAGAATTTGCTTTCTTAAACTTAGTAAAGATAGAGGAACACATGGAAATATTCAATAAAATCTTAATAAACGGCATACGTAGGGCTTTATTGCCGAAGAAAAAGAATCTGGAGCTACTACTTGAGTTTAAAGATTTATTTAAAGAAGAGATAGGATTGCACACTTGTACAGTTAACGTAAATACTAACAAGTATCAAAATAAAACATGTGACTAAAACAGTACAAAATAAAACCATTACATATAATTTATAACATTTCACACATAGGGGTTTCTCACGTTCACTAATTTGGTTGCCGGTCTCCTCCAGACTACAATTTGGTCGTCAGCTACTCTGACTTGGTCATCTAGCCTAGGGTGTACCGCATCCACTATGCCCTTAGTCCATTAGCTTAGTTTTCATCCGTTTTAAGCACAAAGTTTCCAACTCTCAGATTTTCTTGTCTGGTGTGCCAATTGGAGCGTTTGTAAGGGCTAATATTCTTGCAGCCAACGTTTCCAGAATTTCTCTGCCAGATACTCACAGCTGCACTTGTCTTATGAGCCATCCCAGATTTGAGCTTCAATCGATCTCATTAACTCTGATCTAAGAAAAATCCTTTTGTGGTCAGAAGCAAATGGGTTGAAACTCAATACTGGCAAGTGTACTGTGATGCATACGGCGCCACAAGACTTGGTGCAGTCCCTCAGCGAGAGAGGAGTGAGTGTTGTGCTCAACGGGGAATCTTTGACTTTATGGCAAGTCAAAGACTCTTGGCGTTGTGCTTGATAGCAGCCTCACCTTCTCTGACCATGTCACACATGCTTCGCAGCGCGCGTTAGGAAGGCTGAGAGGGCTGTACAGGTTTAGAAGTCTGCTGCCAGAATCTGCGAAGCTGCGCCTCATGCAGTCACTAGTCCTGTCAGTGTTTACATATTGTCTCCCTGCTTATGGAAACAGCATATCTGGAGTAGACATGACCCGAATGCAGAAACTGCAAAATTCAGCTATTCACTTCATATTTTGCCTCAAAAAAATTGAACATATCTCTCCCTATAGAGCTGTAGTGGGGATGACAACAGTAGACACTGTTTGCAGGATCATGACGTGCTGCATGGTGCACAAGGCTCTTGTCTTACAGGAGCAACAGTACCTTCTTGATAGGCTCTCTTTCCGGGAGGAGGTCTCTCAGCGCAGTACCCGCCATGGTGGTCTCCAGCTTCACTTTCCAAGAGTGAGGCTTGAGTTTGGGAGACGAAGCTTCTCGTACTTCGGTCCAAAACTGTACAACGACCTCCCCTCTGGCGTCAAAAAATATTCTTTATCATCATTTAGAGTTAAGATCAAAGAATTGTGCACTGATGGTTCATTATTGTTACTCATATTGTCTTGTTTCTGTTTTGTTATTGCTCTATTTATTTGTTGTTAGTTTTATATTGTTATTGACGAAAGTTGTTCTGAGAAGCAGTATTTGTACTGAGAAACGCTTGATAATTAAAGGCATGTTTATTTATTTTATTTATTTATTATTTATACTGTGCGATCTTCCATTGCTTATGCAGATGCTTCTCCATTATACAAACATCATTAGGGTCTTCTGAGACAGGAAACAAGGGTCTGCTGTTGATGATATAGCCCAATTCACATAAGACATATGTTGAAGTTTTTTATTTGGAATCATGGGAGCCTACAATAATTCTTAAAAAAATTTCACATACTTTATAAGGCGATGGTGCGCCTCACCTTTGTGAGTGCTTGCCGGTATCAAATCAAATCAAATCATCTTTATTTTTGCACAGAAAAAAACTGTATAATAGCGTCACAAGAATCTTATTATATAATAAAACTAAATTATAAATGCTGTTAGAACTAAAACGTAACTGAACAGTATCTTAATTCGATCGGCAACTTAAAACATCTTTCACAGTGTAGGGAGCTTGTTCCAAGAGTATGCGTTTGACCGCTCTCCCAAATTTGTCTTTGTCTTGCTCCACTTTCAGGGGTTCAGGCAACACATTGAAAAACCTGATACTATTATAAAATAGGTGTCTCTCAAAGAAACTTGTCCTGTGCTTAGGTAGCCTAATATTGTTTTTTTGTCTGAGAGTGTACTGCATTGAATGGAACTGCGGTTGATACAGATGATAATTTCTTTTTAAAAACGATAGACAACTGAGTATGTATATGGATGGAAATGTGAGGATATTGTATTCCTTGAAGAGAGGCTTGCAAGAAGTACGACGGGATATTCTGAAGGCTGCTCTTAGGGCTTTTTTCTGAAGACGGAAGACAAACTTTGTTCGTACGCTCTCACAGCCCCAAACTGCCACCAAATACGACAATAATGGGTAAATCAGTCCATAATAGGCACTCAAGGTTACACGAGAATCGGTAAACCTCGAAAGACCTCTGATCACAAAAATTCCTGTGCTAATTCTTCTGGATATGAGCTCTATATGGTCACGAAAGTTGAGCTGTCTGTCTAAAACCAAACCAAGAAACTTAGCATTGTTGCAAGAAGAGATCTCTTCGTCACCTATCAAAACAGTCAGTGGGACTTGCTTTTTTGAGCTGTTAATATGGTATTGGAGCATTTTTGTTTTCTTGCAGTTTAGAAGAAGTTTGTTGTTTTGGAACCATTGCAAAGCTCTATTGGAACTCTCAAATGTTGTTGTCTCCAGATGAGCCACGTCTTTAGCTGAGACGCAAAGTGAGGTGTCGTCGGCATATAAACAAACATCTACATTTGAACTTGGATTATTTGATACAAAAGAAGGCAGGTCATTAATGAAGAGCAAAAACAGGATTGGGCCGATGATAGAACCCTGGGGAACACACCGAATAACAACAGACGAAGCAGAGGTAGCATGATTACGAATTCCTTGGGAGTCAACAAAGGGTATCCGGACTGATTGAGTTCTTCCTCGAAGAAAGGATGACACCCATTCGTGAGCTAAGCCCCGTACTCCAAGACGGTAAAGCTTTTCCAGAAGAGAAGGGTGATCAACCATATCAAATGCTTTAGACAGGTCAAAATTTATTCCCAGTGCAGCGTCTCCAGAATCTAGGGCTCCTGACAAGAATGATACAACATGATTGACTGCGTCGAGGGTCGATTTTCCCTTTATAAACCCAAACTGGTGGGAAGACAAGATATTATTTTCCTCCAAAAATGATAAGAGTCTGTTCAGAAAAAGACGTTCGAAAACCTTGGAGAAAGTTGAAATTAAGGAAATCGGCCGATAGTTGCTACAATCAAATTTGCTTCCATTCTTATGAATAGGCCTAACAATAGCATGTTTTAGGGAAGATGGAAAGCATCCCTCTTCAAAAGAACAATTTATCAGATGGACCAATGTAGCAGAAACTAGATCATATGTTTCTCTAAGAAGTCGAGAAGAAATTTCATCTGGCCCACTCGATGGTTTTGGTTTGAGTGAAAGTATGACTTCTTCCACCTCAGGTTTGGTGACAGGGGACAAAAATAGAGAATTGCTTACAAAATTGAGAGACTCTGACAGCGAGTTCACCCTATCTATACAGTCACTTTCAGTGTGAAATTCAGTCCCGATATCAGAGAAGAATTTATTAAAGATTCCAGCGACTGTCCCTGGATCTCCTACTGTACCGCCATCTTTGTCAACCAATGAAATGTCGAAGTTGTCCTTTAATTTAGGACCTTTGGTGTCATTTATGATTCCCCATATTGTCTTTGATTTGTTCGATGACTCAGATATCTTACTAAGGATTTTGTCTGATTTTGCTTTACGGACAGCCATTTTGAAGTTTCTTTTCATATCTCTGTACTTCAAGCGGATAGGGTGTGACGAATCAAGATCCTTTGACAATGAGTAAAGAAACTGCAGTTGCTTTTTAAGGTTCAATATCTCTGGCGTGATGACTGGTTTATTTGAAGACTTATGACGATGGACTTTTGTTTTCGTTATAGGAAAGGATATATCGAAACAGTATTTTATGGTTTGAAGAAATTCACTGAATTTTTTATCTGTACTCTGTTGATCTAGCATGCCAGTCCAGGTTTCCTTATTTAAATGATGCCTAAAACAACCAATATTTTCCAAATTAAATATACGACATTGAATAAACAAAGGTCCAGATGGTGGAAGTGAAGGAGATAGATTAATTACGGCTTCTTGGCCATGGTGATCTGACAAGGCGGCCTTAACAACCCTACAACTAATTAACTGGGAGTCAATGTTTGTGAAGATATTGTCAATGACCGTCTTAGAGTTCTTAAACTCCCTTGTATATGATGATATTTTATGATGCAGGCCGTATGATCGCATTATGTGCAGAAAGCTTGTGCTCGAAAATCCGTCACTCAGAATATTAATATTGAAATCACCCAGGACAACAATCTTGCGTGCATTTTGAAGAATAAAATCCAGACATTCTCCTAAGAGCTCAAAAAACTCATCGCAAGCATAACTAGGGCTCCTGTAGACACCAAGAACTACGACTGCGTCATGGTTCGATAACACAGTATTTGAAAAGTCCACGTCATCATCTTCCCCAAGCAGAGTGTCTTAATTTGTTCCTTGTAATACAACTCAAATCCTTTTCTTAATTTCTTCTCTGCACTCTTAAAGCTGGTACCGTTGTCTGATACGTTATTTAATATGGATTGATTGTTTAAACCTATAAATAAATGTATAAGAATTGATATAATTTCCAAAGGGCAGTTGCGCCTTGCCGCAGATCTCCAGATTCCAAGAGTTGCTGAGTCCATATTGAGAGAAGCTGCGGTCTCCAAGTGTACCGCTAGCACTAAAGACATGTGAACAACACTCCATATCAATTTTCTCTTCTGCGGCCTAAGGTGACTTCCAGAGCCCCAAAATAATCCACAGCCGTAAAGTTGAATGGCCGTTCATTATGTCTAATCTGTCTCCTGGAAGGGGACTCGTCTCAGGAGTTTTAGCTGTGCTTCGGAATGTATTTGGTATTATACCGACAACACCTATAAATTGACTTTAAAATACAATTTTAATTCGTTTAAATAAAAAAAAATGTCCTAACCTAACCTAACCTACTGTAAGATAACATTCCTAACCAGACTAGTTAGGTTAAGTTAGGTTCGGTTATAATTATTAGGTGTGGTCAGTATAGTATCAAAGTACCTGCGATTCTGGGCAGCTGGCGCATTTTACAATTTGCCCAAAAGCTCAGTTAATTGTTTTCATATAAAATTGTTAGGCTACTTCATTGCATTCTTCTTTTTCCGAAATCCTTTCAATTGTTCACCACTCTTTTTATTTTTTAAGTAAGAATACTGGACGATAAAGCCAACGGCAATCGCTCATTAATGGAGTTGAGAATTCTCGCGAAGCTTCATCAGCTACAATTTGCTGTTGTACGTTGGCATCTCCATTGCTGTTTGTCGGAGTTTTTCAGAACTTTTTCAAAACGGTTAGCATTTTAGACTGACTTTTGCTTTTGAGCTGCTTGAATCCAACACCACGCAATTCTTGAGTCCGTCCAAACATTATGTTTGATCTATAATAATGTTGTGAAAATGGTTATGGGCATAAATAGGGGGTTTACCTTAAATATAAGTTTTAACTATTTCCTACAAAGTATATTATAATTTCAAATTTGTCTTACCATAAGATAAAAAAACAACAATTTAGTATATTGAGTCTTTGTTCCGCGTCAATTAGTTAAAGAGATATAGAAATTAATAACTAGAGTATGTTTTCTTGCCGTGATAAACTGAATGTTAATCTTATGCATAATAAACATAAATATAGATTTTAAGTAAACTTATACAAATAAAACTTGTATTCTGCTTCATATTTTAAATTTTAATATTTTTTACTGAAAATTCATATTTAATTGAATCGGACTTGACAATTTCACGGTGTAGTATGTTATAGGCACCTTTAAAATTGGTTGTGTTGTCAGAATACATGTCGTTAGGAAATCCTCTTCGACCAACAAATCGTTTGAAAGCGCTCAAAAAGGCATCTGAAGTTAAATCGGAAACTAACTCAATGTGGACAGCTTTGGTAATCAAACAAACAAAGAGTGCAACATAACTCTTTAAAAATACTTTCACTCTTCTTCCTATTCTTTTTGTAGCAATAGGACCTGCAAAGTTGATTCCTGTTTTACTAAAGGCTCTTCCAATATTGACTCTGGAGATTGGTAAATTACCCATCATATTGGAAGCTGTTGACGATTTGTACCTGATACATGTTGTACAATTCCGAATAACTGACTTTATTTCATTATTCATGTTAATAATCCAATACCTTTGTCGTATTACATTCTGAACCAGTTGGGTGCCAGCATGTAGATGTCTGATATGTTCATTTCTAATCAGAAGTTTTGAAAAAATATGCTTACCTGGCAATAACAATTTATGTTTCATGTCAAACGGTATATTTGCATTTGTCAACCTGCCTCCAACTCGCAAAAGACCCTACTCGTCCAAAAATGGAAATAGATTTTTCAGTTTACTCTTGTTTTTGACATGTCCATGTTTTTTTCAGTTGCTTTATTTCATCCTGAAAACATTCTTCCTGGATAAGTTTGACAATTGTTTTTGTAGACTCAATTTCACTGCTGTTTAAAGACTCCTTTTCTCTTTCTTCTGCCGGATTTTTTGTTTTATTTGTAAATCTCAAGATGTAAGCAACGATACATATGATCTTGAAATAGCTTGAGAAGTTCATCAATTTCTTAAGCAAAGTTGACTTTTCTTGGGAAAACAAAATTTGAGTGGATGGTTTTCGTAACTCTGGGATTTCCTTTAAGTTAACATTCATATTATTTCGAGGCCAACTTGATTTCTCTTGTTTTAGCCATTCCGGCCCATGCCACCAAATACTAGATTGCTTCAGATGAGAACCAGATGCCAGATGCCTCTAGTAGCCAATTCAGCTGGATTTTCAGACGAACTAACATGATTCCAATTTGAAGGCGGAATAGTGTCTTATATTTCTGACACCCTGTTAGCAACAAACGTCTTCCATTTCTTTGGCAACTGAGACAACCAACACAAAACAATTGTGGAATCAGTCCAACTACAACACTTATTTATATCAATATTCAGAGAAAAGGCTACCTTACTTAATAATTGAGAAAGAAGCGAGGCGCCACAAAGTTCTAATCTCGGTAAGGAAATTTGTTTGGTTGGGCAACTCTTGTTTTAGAACAAAGCAAATTAACATTTACCTCATGATTGGTTGAAATATATTGCACATACACACAGCTAGCATAAGCTTTCTCGGATGCATCACAAAATCCAATAATTTCAATACTTTCACGTAAGTAATTGTGAGTTGTGACTTGTCTTGGGATGCAAATACTCCCAAACGGATCATCTTCAAATGGTCCAAAATTGTTTGGTCCAACGTTTATATTGCCGTTCGTTTGGTCCAAAATCGTTTGGTCCAACACTTTAATACGAGTTCGTTTGGTCTAACAGTATAAACTATTGCGTCCCTCACATTGAAGGCATTCAAATATTTGCCGTCGTATACAATAATAATATTAATACTGTAAAATTGTTGCTTTAAACATGCCGACTTTCTTTGTTTTATTTATTCACTTATTAATCACTATTAATACACTGCTATAAAAATACATGACTCCTCTATTATATATATATAGATAGAGTTAATGGTTAAGATAATACCATTGACAATATGCCACAACAAATATAAACTCTTTTCTTTTCAATAATTTACGCTTGGTTCTCATGGGGAGTAAACATAAAATTTTTGGGGAGTTTTACAAATAGGATATAGGCTATCTTCACTGAGAAATTCACTTTATATCATTACTTTATATCATTTATTATCATTGACGTTGTTGTATTAATAGTCAAAGGTATTATTAACTACATGATCGTTACAAATACCATGAAAAACACGCAACAAACATAGATTTAATTTAATGTATAGATAAATTAAATAAAACATCTGTTTAACATTAAATGCAAACTCAAAGCAAAGTCAATGTTTATCCACAAATCTAGGGAATTAAAACTCGTTGTCTTAAGATTGACTGGGGATAAAAATTAAACAGGACACAAGCACATTATATATAAATAAATATATGAATATGTACGTGTATATAAATGCAAACTATAAATTATTTAGAAACATAACACAAAACAACAAATAGGCCTCGGAAGGCAGGCGGTTGGGTTGACGACGTGACGGCGATTATTTGAACGCCTTCAATGTGAGGGACGCAATAGCTCATACTGTTGGACCAAACGAACTCGTATTAGAGTGTTGGACCAAACGAACTGTTTTACAACTGTTGGACCAAACGATTTTGGACCAAATGAAATACTCCCAAACTGAGGATAAAACGATTTTGGGCCAAACGAACTGTTTTACAAGTGTTGGACCAAACGATTTTGGACCAAAGGAACTGTTTTACAACTGTTGGACCAAATGAAATACTCCCAAACTATTGATAGTAAATAGCTCACCTTTGATTTGATCCCATTGTTTTGATATGTCTTCACTCACCGGCTCATCCCAAGTTAGTCCAGTTAACCACAGTTGTTGTAGCATGATTTTTGAAACTATTACTAAAGGACTTATTAATCCCAGTGGATCAAATACACTTGAAATAGCCCTCAGAATTTCTCGTTTGTTTAAACTAGATTTATTTTGAGTTGTGACATTGATGTTTACTTTGAACATGTCTGATTTGGGTTCCCAAGCAACTCCTAAAGTTTTAATAGGTTTACTCTCTTCTAGACAACAAATTAATCACTAAGACCACATTTCCAACTTACAATCCACTCTTTAGGTCACAATCATACTCAAGTTTGGAGTTTTAGGTTCAACACTTACTCTTTTGTAGGCTTCATAGTACACCACAGGGTATTCCTTTGGCTCCCCCTTTGCTTCGCATATTTTCTGAAAGAACTCAGTGTCACCTTTAAGAACAGATGACGTTCGTACTTTGAGCAACACCATTTTTTTGTATTTTGGACCAATCGTCCAATGTTGAACTCTCTGAAAAATGTCAAACAATGAAGGACAGCAATTTTAAACGAAATTAGCAACTAGATAGACAAACTGATTAACTGCGTTTCTAGACTTTGCTTGGATTGATTTCATTTTGGCTAAAAATAAGGCTTGTAGGTCTAATAAAATGAGAGTACCGAAACACTTGAGTTACTATTGTGGGTTGGATGTCACCCGGCGCGGTCGGTAACATACAGAAATGTCGTCTTTCTGTAAATACCATTATTATTCGTTATATGTTTCATGTGCGTGTTTGTGCTGTATGTCGTGAGCTGTTATTAGTTTTACCCAACGACGTCCATTGGACTGAAGACTCAAAACTGGCCCACCTGATGATGGTACAACTTCGTGCTGAAACCTGGGTAGCAACAGCTGACTTAATTTGAACTGGTGACTGAAGGTATTTAAAACCATTATATTCGTTATGAATTTATACTTGACGAATCTGTTGTTCCTGTAGTGGTTCCACCTCTAAAATATCCTCTGTTTTATAAGATGTGTTAAAAATTTAAATACAACAACTAATTAAAGACTTAATTAAAAAGAAAGAATTAAGTGTAATACGTAAGGTAACTTAACCTTTCTCATCGGTCAGTGTTATCATGGTTAATGTTAAGAAACCAAAAAATGTGATTTTTTTGCCAATATCAACTAAACAAAGCTGTCCAGCGGTCACATTATCAGGTCCCCACTATAGAAGAAGTTGTTCCATAACCTATAAAAGCTAGGATACTGAGTACTATAGACTTAAAAGATCTATTTATTTATTTAGATGACAATACCACAGTAGGTAAAATATAGCGGTTTTACCTCACTTTCGGCACGGTTTTCCCATGTTATTCTTATGGGTATTATTTTTAGCCACTTTTTTAAAGACCCTGCTCTCGGCCAATACAAGCCCATACAAATGTTCAATACTATTGTACAACTCCATTAACATTTCAAATCCATATTTATTCCCATGTATATTTTCAAAATCGTCCGAGGATTGCACGCAAACTCGAGCGGGCTCCATTATGCTTGCTTCTCAACATCCTTTGTGGAAATCCACGAGTTCTGGCTACTTGGGAATCCAAGCCATTTGACAAATCACCCTTTCTCCTAATTACCTTCTCTACCAAATACATGTATTTATATTTGGTGGTCTTTAACAACTCCTCTGTGTAGAACCCTCCCCTGATTATATTACCATTTTCATCGTTCAAGATAAAAGTCAGAGGCTTTTTATTCTTAACTTCTGCTATTGTAAAAAGCTCCCCTGTCCAATTTGGGGTATATCCTTTACTAAACAAATGTTTATACTTGGAAATCCTCACGATATCGCCCACCTTATATTTTGGCTTAACTTGCACTACTTTAGAAGTCAACCTCTCATGCACATATTTACTATTCTTAACACTCACTTGGTTAGGCTTCATTCCTATATATCTATGCACTTTATTATTGTATTTTCTAATTAACTTTGGAAGTAAATCCAACCATTTATAACTCCCCTGAACACTTAATTCCCTATATAACCAATTCTTTAAAGTTCTCTGGAACCTCTCCACAATTGTAGCCTTAGTTGTAGAAAAAGTGTGATAATGATTAATATTTAGTGTTTTCATTAGTTTGCTAAAATATTGAAGAAAAATGCTTTTCCATTGTCAGATTGAATGTTTTCAACCCCCTTTTGTAGAATGGTTTTAATGTCTTCTGTAACCACCAACCCTGTCTTATTCTTTAGTGGAGCAGCATAAGCTTTTTTATAAAATGTATCTATTAAAGTTAAAATATATTTATTGCCAGAATTATCTCTAGAATAGTTTTGCATATCAATTAAATCTATTTGTATGGTTTCGTCTAAACCTAATACTTTAAAAGACCTTCTAATGAAATTCTTTCTTGCAGACTTATGAAGTTCGTACGCAATTTCATTAATTTTTTATAACATCACTCTTTCCATTAACTATAAATATACTACCATTAGCCCCAATCAATAGATTATCTTTTTTAGAATAGAATAGAATAGAATAGAATAGAAAAAATCTTTATTGCTCAATGTACATAATATACAGTTGTTGTAAACAATCACAATAGTATTGAACACAGTTCTGGTTATAGTATTTATACAAATATGCCTATGAACTTACACAAATTTTTTTAAACCTTAACTGATTATAAAACTATAACCAGACAGTAAGTAATAATTTTTCTTTTAAATACATAGTTTTCTGGTATATATGGTTTATTACCTATATACTTAAATGCACTCAAAGATGTGGGGTCAGCAACTAATAAATCAGGATTTTATTCCATTTAATTAAAATTTTGTTCTCCATATACAAATTTCGCTCTATCATAATGCATAGCTTGTGACATTAGACAAATTTCATCCAAATTTTTCCCCTCTGGTAGATTCCTTATAAATATGTGTTTGGCATCCCGACGATGTTTTTTATTACGGGTCATAGTCTGTTCTTTTGTAACACAATCAGTGTCATCAATGCCAGGTTTAACACGTACTAACCTTTTATTATTAAAATCCCAATAGCCTGCTTCCATTTTTGGAACTTGTGAAACATTCACAGCATCTTTACTATCTGTACCTTTCATCAAAACACTAATTTTCTTAGCATTCCAAACACTATTCTCTGATTATAAAAATTCATAATTATTATCGCCTTGTACAAAGGTACCACCATCTTTTCGTATTAAAGTCTGTTGTAAAGTGGGCACATCATCTAAGCTTTCAACCCTTTTCACATTAGTAATTTTCCGTTTCTTAGCATTTGAAACACAATTCTCTGATTCTAAAAGTTCATAATTATGATTTTCTTGTACAAACGTACCGTTTTTTCGTATTAAAGTCTGTTGTAAAGTGGGTACATCATCTAAACCCTTTTCCACATTAGTAATTTTCTGTTTTTTAGCATTCCAATTTTTATTTTTATATTGTAAAAACTCATATTTAGTTTTACCTTGTACAAAGACATCACCTTTTCTAGTTAATGTCTGCCCCAAAGTTGATACATCATCTACAAACTCCCCATCTTTAACATTACCAATTTTACGGTTTAAACAATTTCAACTATCGTCTTTTAAATTTAAAGTAGGTTCATTACTAGCTCTGGGTTCTGCTGGCTTATTATATTGATTAAATAAACAATAAAATGTATCTATAAACATATTTTTATTTAATAAATAATTCCACTTTCTATCAATTCTTCGAAAATGGAATCTATTTCATAATCCACTCCTGAGTTACCGGCTTGGCGACTTAGCCAAAGAAGTCTTAACCTATCTACAAGCTCATTACCCAAGTAGCAAAAATCGATGGCAAATCGTTGGCCAAACTTTTCTGTCGATCGTTGGCCAACGGTATGTTTTGGCACTCAGTCTTACGGTTGGCCAATCAACCAATTTTTGCGGAAGGGCCAACCATCCCATTGGGCCTAAACAAAAAAAAAACACAAAATACTAAAGATTTAGTATGAAAAGCATAATTATCAGTCGAGTAAATTGATTAAATAGTTCATAAAAACTCATTTTGAAAAAAAAACGAGATAAAATTATTTGGCCGGAACGGGTATCAAAACCCGGTACCTTCGCCTTGTGAGTCTCACACCTTACCTCTGAGATAACTGTGCTAGTTGATTATGGGTGTTTTCAAGTGGTCAAAGAGTAGCCGATAGGTGCAATGGTCACAATACTTAAATTATTTTTGATGCTACAGTATAATATGATTCTGTTAATCTGTTTAGGCCTCAAGTTGATTTGTTTTTCTGGTAGTTGGAGAGGATACTAGTATTTAAATATATGCTAAGTGGACGTGGAAGGAATTGCATTCATTGGCTTTCAAGACGTGGTGGCATTTAACATGGTGACCAACCCTACAGTATTACAATAAAGACTCTCCTGTGACGTTGCAATGTGATGCGAGCCAGTTTGGCTTGGGTGAATATTGCACAATGGTAAGCCAGTTGCTAATACCAAGGACTCAAAATCAAACTGAATGCCATTACGTTCAGATTGAGAAAGAATTACCGGCAGTAATATTTACCTTTGAAAGGTTTGGTCAGTATTTGTTTTATAAGTGTGATATTATGGTAGAAACTGACCACAAACCTCGTGAGACTGTTTTCAAAAAACCTTTGGTCAATACACCGAATCGATTACAAAGAATGTTGCTGCGTTTGCAGAAGTTTAAATTCACTGTCGTTTATCGACCAGGTAAAAAAAATGTTAGTAGATATTTTGTCACGCGCTCCAGAAACTAAGTATGAAAACAGAATGCAAGACAATTCAGCAACGATTTTTAAACCTCAATGAACATCTCGTCAAAGGAGTTAAACAGTGTAAACCCTCAAAATACATAAATGTTACGGACGAGCGTTTAAACCCACTTACAGAACAAAAATACAGTGACCCCGTGCTTCAGAAGCTTATATCGGTGATTATAAATGGTTTATGATCACCTGATAGAAATACTCAAGTTCCCAAGGAACTATGGCATGACTGGCCTTTTAAGGAATAGCTTGGAGTTGAAGGTGTATCCTCAAAGAAAAGTGGATAGTTATCCATAGTCAATGAAAATTGAACTAGCCAATAGGAACAATTTTTAACGTCAAATTAAATCATGTATAAGAAGAGTAAAATATATATTTTTTGGCCGGGAATGATAGGAAAGTAGGCTTCCTAGTACTGTTTATAGTACAGAAAGCTGCTAATTGCTGTATATTTATACTTTGTCGTACGGTTTATACTTTGTCGTACGGTTTATACTTTGGCGCACATCAGGATTCCAACGAAACAACACAAAACAGCGTGGTTCTATTATGCACGTAATCCGTGGACGCTTGGAAATAGGTTGGCAACACTTAAAGATAATAATACTATGAGCAGCTGATTAACTTTTATAACTACGATTTAACCTGCCATTTCGTGTTTATAGTTTATGTTCTCTTTTCGGTTTTTCTGAACTTTCTGGACTTTTCCTGTAAACGTTTTTAAAACATTCCTACGATCTTAATAAACAAGAAATTACCTTTAAAGCATTTTTTTGGCACGGAAACCACTTCAAATTACAAAAACATACGGAACTTTTTTCTCAAGTCGCGGAGCACATTGCTTATCGAGGAAAAAATAGTGGAGTGATACGGACCGGTGACTACTTTCTCTAGGGCACCTATTTGTGTTTCCAGCTGAACCTAAAAACGTGTTGTATAGTGTTTGAAAAACTAATTATTTATATGCTTTATAGTGACTGTAGGAAAAATATAATGTGTAACCATGTGTAACACGTTTGCAAAAGGCCTTTGCTGCACCCGATATCATTCCGCATTCGCCTGTGGCTCGTGTGTAAACATTGCTCTCGTGTGCAGCAAAGTGCCACTTTGCTCACTAGTTACACAAATAAATATAGTATCACAGAAATATGCTCCAACTCATTGGAAAGAACCCTTTTTTACTGTAAGAAACACTATCATGTCCCTGGCAGCGAATTTGGATTGATTTTGCTCAAAAAGGTTCAACTCACTTCATTATTGTGTTCTGATTACTATTCTTCATTTTTGAGTTTAGGAAAACACAAAATTGTACCTCTGAAACATTGTTTGTTTTATGTAAAGAGTTATTTGCAATATATGGCATTCCAGACGATGTAGTTGGTGATAGTGTTACCCTTATATTAAGTCAAACATTTAAATATTTTATAGAAGAGTGAATATTTCAGATAATTAATTCCTCTCCATATCACCACCAGGCAAATTATGCAGCAGTTCAGTCTGCTGTAAAGATATTTAAGAATATATTTTTTTCGTTTAGTGAGGGAAGACATAGGAGACTTTTAGCACTCAGCAGGATCTTCTTGAGTTGAGAGATACATTAATCCAAGAAATTAGTAAGAGTCCAGCTCAGTAGTTAATGTCTATAAGAACGACAAGCTTTGTACTATCTTGTAAATAAACTCTGCTTTGTCCAAACGTCTCTGTGAAAGTTATGGAAAAGTGGAATAAAAAAAGATGCACACAACAAATATTTTGTCAAAGGAGCTAAAGACCTTGCCTACATAGACCCTTCTTTAGCCACATTAACTTTTTAAATGTGCACAACTTTAATCAAATATAAATACCATACTTTCCTATGTTCCCCAGCACTTTTAGTTCTCATTATGGGGGTGAAATTAGTAACGATTATTATCACAAACATTGTATTTGTCAAAGATTGTTAAAAAGTTAAAAATGTACAAGTATTAATTAAGAAACTGTAGCCTATAAGTACTCACCATATATTCCATTAGAGGTTTCCACTGAAATTTGCCATCCTCCCCAACACGGACAACATCATCATGGTCGTAGTAGAGAGTATGTATATATGCGCCTTTGTATTGGTCATGTCTCCTCTCCAATTCGTCCTACAATCCCCAAGGAGTTAGTTTATTTAGCTGCTTTTAAGCTGAAGGTTCAGATGACTTATAATACTTCAGATGGTTCGCAATCATAAGATTTTTTATAAGTAACCAAATATCATGTTTCTATATTTTCTGCAGTTTATGTAGGTTTATAGACCTAACAGTAAAAGAAATCTTGCTAAAAATAAGTTCACACTCACTGTCTAGGGTAAAAAAAACTTTAGATGGACTTAACATTTTTCCTACCTAAGTCCATTATCTCTTTAATAGTTTGCGTTATTTGTGATTAACTTAATTGCAAAGCCAATAATTAAGTACCGCCTTCCTTCCAATACGATTCCTATTTTACACGCTAACTGTGAAAACTTCTAATGATACCTGATAGTTATATATTTTCTAATGTAATTTGTCAAACTTCTTCTAGCACTGTGTAATCATGCCAGTAATTAGAAGTCGTTGTTTTAACTATGTATCAAAGTTTCTCATTCTTTCCCCTTACAAAATAAATTGACTGACTCTCACGCACGGGTTCTCTTTTACGTACCTATGGGGATTAATTTAGTAGATTTTAGTAAATTTCTCATATTAGGAATAAGCTTTTACCGTAGTACTCATGGTAAGACATGGACCCGGGTCCGATTTCCTTTTTCGTTTTGAGGTCCCAAGAGGCCAAAAGCACCTTCCGTTCAAATTCATTTATGTACAGAGTGTCCATAAAACACGTTTCAGGACTTTGGGATATGGATCCTCATACTAAAAGGAAGAAATAAGTTCCCTGAAGGTATGTCCAAAGTGCATATTTACCGAGATATCTACCATTTTGTTTTCATTATTGCTATTTTTATCTTTCAAGTATTTCAACTAATGATTATGAAAGTCGGTAAGAATGTTTTCCGAGTGGATTTTATTTAGGCGTGTCTTAGAACTAAAAAACTTGTTGTTTTATTTAATTGCCGTTGAATCTTTTTGATCTTGGTTTTGTTTGATAGGATCTTAAAAATTTTAAAAAAGTATGCTTGAAATATTTTTATAAATCAACCATTTTGAGCTATTTAAGTTTTAAAAATTAATAAGGTCGCCATTTTGAAATTTTCAATCAGATTAAATTTATCTTCTTTCTACAATAGGTCGTGTGTACGTTACAATTGTTCCCAAGTTTAATAATCATTGGTTTAAAAACTTTAAAGATAAAAATAGTTACGTATAAAAAACAAAATGGCGGATGTGTAGGTAAATATGCATTTTCCGACATACCTTCACGTAACGTTTTTCTTCCTTTTGGTATGAGGATCCATTTCCCAAAGTCCTGAAACGTGTTTATTGACACTCTGTATATGTATGCATTAAACGGAATGCATTAAACAGATGAAACTTGTTGAGCGTGCTCCGGAAATTGCCATTTCTAAATACACTAAAAAGGTACGCCTACGCTGGAAACCCATCTCAGATACAATAAAATGTATTTTATCTTTGCTACCTATCGAATAGTTTACGGACTGAGAAAATATCTAGGGACTCACCTTATCAGCAACATCGATGATTTGTATCTGTAAACAAGTTATAAAACATTGCTTTACTCAATTATAATAATTATTATAAATAACAATAAAACAAAACCGTAGGCCTAATGGTAAAATTCGGCAAGGCCTATTTAATTCTTTTACGGTAGTATAGTAATGTTGAGTATTTTTCATAAGATATTAACCCCCCTTTTGAATAGGTACCTATAGTATAAGGTGGAATTGTGCCGGATTTAGATTTTAACAGAGATATAAATGTAGATAGTCAATGTTTGGTTATAATGAGTTTTCTGTGTTAATATCATGAAAGTAAACCTTTAATACAAACCCCAATAATACAGACTTTGTTTTTGTAGATCGTCATTCGACAGTTTAAGTTTCAAAAGATTTGTTCGCTCAATTACGTCAATAGAAGAACCATTGTTCTTCACTTATGTATTCATGGAAAACGGTTTAAAAGCGTCACATAGATTTTACATATAATTTAGGTGGGTTCGGTGTACAACCATAAAACTAACTATGAATACATATTTCTTCAACGATAATTATTTTTGTTTCAGCGTAGAGGGGTTCCACTGTTATCCAGTACTGTATGTCAGTTTGTTCTCTGAAGGACATTTGGTTGGTTTCTTGATTTAGGTTTCTGGAAGGAAGTTTTCTTTTATACTGGCCCTAGGGGTTGTGTCAATATCATTAAGAGAACATTTATTGGTAATTTTGTGGGTTTTGAACCCAAGACCTCAGGGACCAAAGTCCTAGCTCTACCACTAGCACTAGACCAGCTCACTCTCCGAGGGATAGATTCCTCATAGATAGTGGAAGGAGGTTAAAATATACAGATACTTTATATCATGGGTTTCATTCTGCGATCGTTCTCCGGTATATGGGAGATTTATTTATTTATTTATTTACATTCCAACGGCAAAGACCATTACAAAAATGATTACGATACTTAAATCTTAAATTAATAAACAAATATGCATTCATATAATTCAATAAATAGATATTAACAGGAAAACAGATAAATATATAAATAAACATTTTAAGAGATCAACAAGACAAGAAGCACAACTCAATTTACATGCACATTGATTAATAAATATTCAAACCTATCTATATAACAAAAAATATAATAACCTACAATAAATTTTGTTGCTGGCGCAGGGAAGTCAACCGGACCGTAGCCTTCCTTCGAAAAGTCCTCGTGGTGTCTCCGAAGAATTCGATACTGGCCCCCAAAGTGTTTCCAAGACGAAGAAATCTTGCAAGAGGAGCGTGATACTCGTATTGGCTACTGAAGTGCCTCTTGCCAAACAGATCCTGCGAACGGGTTCCAGAAGGCACACGAAGGTCCACTTCGGCAAGTAAAGCAGGGCAGTCAATTTGGCCATTGAGGAGTTTGTGGAGGAAAACAACGTCTGCCACACAGCGTCTCAAGTGAAGATCTAGTAGGTTTAAATTGTTTAGGAAGACGGCCACTGGGACTTCACGGTACTGCATGCCTTGACGGGCACCGAGAAATCTGATGTATTTCTTCTGGATCCCTTCGAGTTTGTTGATGGACCTAAGGTGGAAGGGTGACCAAACTGGGCTGGCGTACTCCAACAGCTGTCGGATCAGGGAGCAATACAGAGTCTTTAAAGCAATGGCATTTGTTAGCCCACGGGTAGCCCGAAATAGGAAGCCCAGCAACTGATTGGCTCTTTTACATAAGTAATCCAGATGCTCATCGAATGAGAAGTCCGATGAGAAAATCACTCCCAAGTCTTTCACCATTGAGACTCTCTTTAGAGGCTGGTTTGTGATGGAATATTCTACCATGTATGGAGCGCGAATCTTACTGAAAGTCATACTGGAGCACTTTGACACGTTCAGGGTCATGTTGTTAGAAACGCACCAATCGTGGATAGCGGTTAGGCTAGCTTGTAGACGGAGAGTGTCTTCAGGGCGTGATACTTCAACAAATATCTTAACATCGTCCGCGAACAAAAGGGACTCCACATCAAGAGTATCCACGATGTCATTAATGAAAGTTATGAAGAGGTAAGGTGCTAGCAACGAACCCTGGGGGACGCCTGAGAGTTGGATAAATTCATCGGAGTTGCAAAGAGGCAGTTTAACATTCAAGCGACGCCCTGTAAGATAGTCTTCCATCCACTTGAGAAAGGGACCAAGGATCCCGTAGGCTTTCAGTTTGGCAATAAGGATAGAGTGATCAACCTTATCAAAAGCTTTTGCAAAATCAACAAAAACTACGTCCAGTTGTTTTCCGTTTCTCAAAGCTGATAGAATGTTGCTCTCAAATAATAATAGGTTGGTCACAGTAGACTTAGAGGCTGTAAACCCATGTTGCCTAGGGGTGATGAGTGGTCTTAGGAATGGTTTGAGTCTAGAGAGAACAAGCGATTCAAACACTTTACCAATAGCTGGTAGTATAGTTATAGGCCTGTAGTTTTTTACTTCTGAAGGATTTCCTCCCTTTAAAATAGGCACTACTTGGCCGACCTTGAGAATTTCCGGAAAGATCCCTTGATAGAGTGAGGAGTTGAAGAGGAACGAGAGAGGTCCCGCTAGGAGCGTTCGGCAATGCTTCAGAAACGAGGGTGGAATGTTGTCAGGTCCAGCGCCTTTATTAATGTTTAGCTTGGAAAGGCAATCCAGAACTTCGGATGGGGTGAAGCTAATAGAGGCTAGAACAGAGCTACTGTTGAACTCGAAGGTAGGGGGAGATTGCACAGGCTGGGAGAAGACTGACGAGAAGAATCTGGAAAACATAGAAGCCATTTCGTGCGGATCAGCAGTAGTGTTGTTGTCCCAAGACATCTGGGATGGAAAGCCGGGAGATGTGAAGTGTTTATGCATATATGTTGTGTTAAGTGTAGGTCTGTTTTGTGGCGCTGCCATTGTATAGGAAATTGATTGTTTTGCGAATGTTAAGTAATACTACGGTCAGTATTTCTATTCCAAAACAGTAGTAGTCTTATTGCTTGGTGTCAACTAGGAAACTATTTGCCAATTTTGTTGGATAAGAACTCGTCTAATATGATTGCGATGGTTTCCATCCTCTATACCCTTTCTAAACAGTTATTAAAAACGGACGAAATAGGCAGCCTCAGCTGTATGTGGTTACGCGTCAGAAGTCCAATGTAAAATATGCAGTTTTGTTGTTAAGAAGTCCCATTAGACAATGCTTTGTTCTTTACTATAAGATGTCACTGGAAACAGATCACTTCTTGGTCTTGCTTAAGAAATTTTTAGAGACGCTTTTCTCATAAAATATGGGTAAGACATAGAATGATGAATTAATTAAACATGAATTATCACAACAAACTTCTTTAGGTCATTATAGTTTTAGTACAGTAATAACCCTCCCAAGAAAACATAAAAACTGGTCCGATCATGAAACTTGCAGTAAACGTAGTAATTACCATTGGGTTTTGAAATCTGAAGAGTACCTTGTGATTGGGGGGGGGGGGGTTGAGGTACTATTTTATGGGGGTTAAGGTTTAGGAGGGGGTTGTGATTTTGAAAACATTTTTATTTATAGGATTCAAGCAAGTGGGGTTTCGTTTTCTATTTTTTTTAAGATGCAAAATCGAAAAAAGCATAATAAAATCAATATAACCGCCAGTTTATGAGAAAAAGACAAATTAATTCGCAAAACTAAATATGACAAATTTAATTTTTTTTACATAGTATTTTTGGGTAAATAGTCCAGTTAATCTATATTATTAAAATAATTTGTTGGATTTTTGTGTGCAGCAAATTGGCCCCTAACTATTTTTATAGGCATATTGGGTATCAATTTAAAGCTATTATCCTCTAGATGTGCTTTTTATAGGTTTGGATGATATCCCGTGAAAGCCCTTCTTCCTATAGGCTTTTAAAATTTAAAAATGTGTGCTGAGTTCTGTTGTCAATCATTTGAACTTTTTTAAGTTGACATTTGTTTACATCAAAACAGATTGTCATGATACAATTTTGTTTACATCCATACGAAAATGGTGTTATCAGTAGTTAGTGATGTTTCAGTGAATTCAAGTAAAATAATGTAATGTTATTTGTTTAAAATTTAAGAAGAAAATGACTTACGTTAGATTTTGTGTTGTGGTAGGATTTTGTGTTTTAAAAGTATGTTTTACTGCACAGTTTGAAGTACAGTACCTAGTTTGTTTATGAAGTTCTAAAGCATATTTTTTACTATAACTTAAGAGGATGGTTATTTATTTAGATTTTCCCGCCCTTAGTGCCACCTGCAGTGGCCGAGGTCCGGACTGCTTATCAGTCCTAGGTGGAACGTTTATTTTTTTTTCAAAATCTTAAATCGTTGTACTAGTGGAGGTGCTGGTGACGTGTTTGCATGGCTTATTTAAAGGAAGTAGCATATTGTTTGGTGAATTAAAGAAAGTGGATCTAAATTTACCTCCAATAATTATATTCGATTGGCCTCCTTGGAATATAATTAATTTGCGCAACTCTGCTAACACTTCCTGAGCTATAAGACACCCAAGACATTGAACGAGGCCATTTACTCCAAGAATTTAATTTTAACTTTTATGAACACCCCAAATCCAGTGTGGTGTTGCGTGATTGTTAATTTAAGTATTATAATAACTGTATAATTCTCACTATAACTGTAATTACTGTTTTTATCAAGGGATGATGAAGGACATATGTCGGTATAAGTATTTTGTAAAAAGAATTTGAGGACATTTTAGGGCATCCTTAAATCCCTAAATCCTTAAAATCATAGGGCAGGGACCTGATTTTTCAAACATTGAAAATAAATTGACTGTTTTGGCGGAAATTAAATATTGCCAAATACCTTCAAGCGTATTGCAAGGTGTTAATCGGTCGACAGTCTGAAGAGCCTACGGCGCTGAATTTAGCGATGATTAAAGCGAAGCTAGCACACTTAGAGCTAAGAGTAAACATGTTAAAAGGAAGTGTATTGTTAGCAACCTACAATACAATACAACCGTTGAAGAGTTAGTTAAAACCAGAATATCTCTAAGTAGTAATTTCTCTAAGAAGTAAATTGTCAGAAATCGAGAGTAAAATCGCCCCGGATTAATATCTGCGTTTTCAGGAAGAGTTAAATAAATCTTCAATCGAGAGTGAGTCAGCCGATGAGGAAATAAACGGCGTATCAACCGGGCAGCCTATCACCTCTTCACCTAGTAATCAGCTAAGATTAACTACTAAGCACGACACGGCACACGTCCCGCCTCAAGGTCACTGTTCGCCCCCGCACCCCACGGACCCGCTTCGTCCTCCACCGCTGCCGCCGGTCAACTTGTTCCAGAAACTAGCAAACCCATTGGGAAAAAATATTTTTGAAATTTCCGGAGAACTGCACTGGTATGGAGATGACCCCATTGCTAAACTTTTTAAGGCAGACTAATTTTGCAACAGGAATCACGACTACCCGAAGACCAAATATTGAAAATATTTGGCAGGTACGCTATTTCTCCGCTCAAAGGATCTATAATAGAATGCCAAAACAGCGGGAAAACTATCATACATACACACAGGGAAATAAATTCATTCATCCCAGCATCTTTGGGAGAGCAACTAAAATATGAGTAGATTCGTCGTCCCGAACGCTACGATGAGAGTATGTCGCAAAAGCACAATCAAGTTTTTATGGCAAATTTAACAGAGAAACAAATGCTTGATTCTATTAGAAATTGATTAAACCCGGAAATCCACAACAAAATCGCAGTATAAAAATTCCCCAAAAATGCACCACAACAAGTTTCAACTTGTTGTGGTGCAGAAAATAATTTGGATTACATCGATTACTTTCGTACATCGATTACTTTCGTAACAAAGCCTGCGCAAACGTAAACCCTTCGAGACCTGTATTAAGTGCGGCCATGCCAGTTTCACGACCTGTTAGATTGTTAAATGAGCAAAATGTGTACCGGCACTCAAACTACCATAGCCACCAACCAAGTGACACAAAGAGGTGTTTATATATATATATATATAGACCAGGTCAATATATATATATAGACCAGGTCATTTAGTGCGCCATTGCTTTCGTGCTTAAAAAACTCGCAAACGCGGGAAAATTTGCCCTCAGTCAAATAACCACTCTAAGATAAGTATTCCCGCTAAGAAAAACAGTCAATACGGTTCTGAGTTAAATAATGGAAACGAGAGTAGCATTAATGTATATGCTCGTAATACTTTTTCCATATTTGACCTTAATAAGGCTTTTTTGCAGTGCCCATTAAATGAGGAAAGTAGGGATTTAACCTCATTTGTATTTGCGGTAGGAAAGTTCCGTTTTCGCAGATTATGTTTTGGCCTTAAGGTCGGTAGTTCCATATTGAGTAACTATATGGATAAAATATTTTATTATCTGACATATAAGCATCTATAGATATATTGTGACAACCTTCTAATTTTTAGTAAAACCAAAGAAGAGCATCTAAGACATCTACATGAAGTCGCTGGTATTTTAGGGGCAAAAAAGTTAACTTTTAACCCGGACAAAGCCAGATTCTTCAAGAATTGCCCTGTCCATCACACAGTAAAGCAAGTGAATCAATTCACGGACATGTGTGGTTATTGAGGGAACTATATTGAGAATTATTCCGATATTTGTAGACATCTACATACGCTCAAACGAAAGAATACAAAATTCGTATGGACAGCAGAATGTCAAGGTGCCTATGAGACTCTTAAAGATAAAATAGCAAATCCCCCAATATTAACAATGGCTGACTTCAAAAAACCGTTCGTGGTACATACGGACGCGTGCGCCACAGCTGCCGGAGCGGCTCTTCTGCAGTATAATGATGCTGGTGATCTGATGCCGATTGCTTTCTATAGTAAATCCTTCACCGAGAACGAGCTGCGTTATTCCATCTACGAGAAAGAAGCGTATACAGCCGTATTGACTATGGGAAAATTGAACGCTTACTTATCACCTCAACCCTTACTTATAACCAGAATTAAGTTACGTCTTAAACACTAAGGGTAAATTAGGACGCCTTTCCAGATGAGTAGAACGACCACTAGCACTTATCATTGTCATACTCATCATTGTCATTGTCCTGACATAATTCTAGGCTAAGCATTGCCCAGTCTACACCTGCTGTGAATCGTAACGTACCATTTTATGTTTTAAGGGTTCTAATATGTGTTATTTTATTATACATGATAAGGGTGATTTGGTAAAAAGGGATTAAATTGCTGAACCGTCATCTCGGAGTCATTATTGTTAGAGCTCCCCTCGTTCACAGGTCAACTTCGCGACCCTTTAGCTCTGATAATCCAGAGAGAGGATCTAAATTCACCACTAATAATTATATTCGATTGGCCACCCTGGAATAGGATATGATGATAAATAAACGTTTTCACCTTTAACAACTATACATTAACTATATATCAAATATATCACGGATTTTGAAGTCACAAAGTGACGCAGGTTACTATCTATGCTAGTATCCATTATTAAAAAAATTGGTCATGCGTCTATATGTCATATGTTAACCTTGTAAGAAACAGTAACTAAGAAACTGGTAGTTACGCCTCTTTAAACCACTAAGTGTCATATTGTTCATCAGCCACTGATGCATCATCACCACCCATCCCATGGAATCGTCAGGGTCTTTGACTCGATCTTATCCATTATCGTCTTATTTTGACACAATTTAACTGCCAACTGACAGCACAGGAGTTGGGTTTTTAGAGTTTGTACATGCCCCTTCTTCAGGAAATCGGCATAAAGGTGAACATTTAATACCGCTCTTTACACAAAGCATTGTGATGTTGAGCAACTACCTTTACACGAGCAATATACTAATTTCAGAAAATTGTCTCTGGAGCTGGTACATTAGTTGTTCTGATTGGTATTGTGTCTAGTCCAAACCTACTCCTCTGGACGCAGTTTATTCCCTAGCAAGAGTTGTAGTGTGGTCGTAGGTGCAGTAGGAGTGTTGGAACTTGAGCAGCACTCACTACCCGATGTTAGTGGTAATGATTCTAATCTGGCTACACTTTTCTTTAATTATCTCTGAAAACGATTAAATCTAAGTTGATTTAGTGCAAGCGTCCCATCCTTGGATCCGTACAAGAAAAGTAATACACATTCCCCTGCCTGTTTAACCTCAATGTGATTGGCGTCAGGTTTGTGGAAGGTGTGTACGTGGTTGGCCAAACCCCTTTCAGTCTCTAGCAGTTTGACGAGTAGTTTCTTTCCTTTGCCATAACTCATGCTGCTGATATTACAACCACTGAATAAATGTGCTAAGAGCGTGTAATATTTTACATCTTGATGCCTGCTGATGTTGAATGCTGATTGAAAAAAATATACTCTAATTGGTACAGCCCTTATTTGGCTTGATAAGAAGAATTGCATGATTCACTGGTGCAAGGGCAGTCAACAGTACAATGATTCTTCTGTCTTGGGTGTCTATAGCGCTACGTTTTTTCTAAGTCTGGCTGCACATTTAGCCCATCAGCGTCTCCAGTAGACTGTCTTACTTCGATTCCTGCCTCACGAAATTACCTTGTTAACATGCTCATTAATGGTTGTTTGTTGTCAGTATTAGCAAGAAACTTCGAGGTTTTTACACATAGCGATATTTTAAGATATTTTGATCTGAGAAGCAAAAATCCCTCTATCTATCTGCGTAGCCGCTCACGGGTTTTAACACTATCAGGATCACTGTAACCATCAAATACAATTACCGGAGACCTGTACTTATTCTGTTTAAATCGCAAGTATCTATTGCATACATCTTAGTAAGATAGATTTTTTGCTTTGCTACCCAATTTTACTGCGTGTAAAATGTGCCCTTAGTCAATGATGCAAGTTGAAAAATTTTCAAGATCCTCCTTCACGTCTTCTTCTGGAGTACCATCAAACTCTTTGCACAGAACAGATTTGCCGTTCTTCCTCAATCCTGTGTCCTGTGTTACAAAGACAACGGGAAAGGCTTAATCTCAAATGTGAAGTAATACGATAAATTTCTTCTTTCCTTAAAAGTATTCTTTGGTACAGGATGAGCGGGTCAATGTTAACGACATTGTAGTATAATTTGATTGACGTACAAACTCTAAAAACCCAAATCCTGTGCTTTCAGTTGGCAGTGAAATTGTGTCAAGTTAAAGACCCTGACAATTCCATGGATGGTGATGATGCATCAGTGAATGATGAGCAATAAGAAGAGAACGTAGTGGAAAGTGACGTAACTAACAATTTCGTAGTTAATGTTTCTTACAACAATGACACATAGACTTATGATCAATGTTGTAATAATTTAAATTACCTGGATTAATTTTACCTTAATTTGTCAAGTATTTAATTTTTATGAATTCATTTGTATTTTCTCACAAAATATCAGTTGCATTGATTTTATTATGTTTTTGTTTTGCTTCTGCATCCTAAAAAACATAGAAAATGACCTTCCACTGGCTTGGATCCCATAAATAAAAATGTTCTCAAAATCACTACCCCTCCTAAGCTTTAAGCCTCATTAATGGTACTTCCGCCCCACCAAATCACTAGGGACTCTTCAGATTTAAAAACCAAAGAGTAATTACTGCGTTTCCTGCAAGTTTCATAAACGTACCAATTTTTATGTTTTTCACGTCGAATTTTACCTGTAGCCTACTATTTACAAAATGAGCAGAGAATGTTTTCAAAATCAAAGAATTAATGATACAATCAACGCTAAAGATGAGCTGATGCTGATAACACAGCTGATGTGTTTAAAGAATAATGAATTGTATCTTTTAAACAACATATGCCGCATACACACGAAGTCGTTGGATTTGCTTCAGTTGCGAGAATTGTATGCTTCAACTCTATTAAAGTTATGATAGTAAAAAACCTGACACACCTTATTTTCCATATCAAAATAAACATTTCTTCCTCCTTTATCAAGGATTTCTCTAGTCATGGGATCCTTGTCAGCTTCCCAAATGACGCCATCAAATACAGCTAAAACAATGCCATTTCTTACGTTGTTTCTGGAAAATTCTGCTGCAGCCTGTAACTGTAAGAAAAGCTCATAAGTGATTTTGAGATAAACTTGTTGCTAAGTGGAACTGTAGGATAATAGTCCAGGCAAATTAGACCCAAAATAGATCGTGCTTCCCGGAAAATCTTCTAAAGCTAGAACGTATTTCATACTTTTGTTGGGGTGGTCCCAAATAAGAGTCGAGTTTGTGACAGATTCAGACGTCTGCTTAAGTTTTGGGAATGGAAAAACTGTGATCATTTTGACCTTATTTTAAGGTTTTCTCTTATAACCCTCAAATGACACATCCCTTTGACATTTTGTAATTCAGTACTTTAAGCCCAGTAAATTATGTGTCGACTGGTATAAAATATCTCAAAGTCTGCTGAGCAGTTTACTCGCAGTAGCTTTTCAAAGACGAGATACTTTAACTAGCATTGCCAAAAAGTTAATTCCTTTTTCAGTTTCACCTTTCGATTCCCAATATAATAGTATTATAGATTGCTGGGTATCTAAGTGATTATAATCCACAGGTCACCGGTTCGGTCCTGAGAAAAGTGTGTTTTTTGATGGTTCGAAACTGGACCCAGCTGTCCTTGATCATTGGGCATTCAATAAATGGTCGTGACTTATGATACAACTGGTCTTTGTCAGTAACAAAGCTACACAAGGCTCACACTTCATTCTACAGTAATCCTTCTCTCTTATTTTGGTTAAAATACCCACATAGGTGGCGATACAATCTTAAAGTGTAAAAATAATGATAAAAATACAGTAAACGGAAATATTATTGTTTATAGACAATAATATTTTTGTAATAAGATTGTAAAAACTTTTCAGCTCTAGACGATATTTTGGGATGCAAATGTCTAATTTGCCTGGCCTACAAACGCCATATTATGGCTAATGTTGCAATTTCCAACATAAGCAATGCTATTTAAAAAAAGCGTTTTAGCGAAGGAAAGTAGCTATAATTATGATTAGGTATCATGGTATGTAAGATTTAGTAGACCTGGGACTATTAATCTATTCATTGAAATTATTTTAAATGTATATAATATATGTGTCTGTGAGTCCGTTGGATGATAACTCAAGTAATTTTTGTTAGATTATAAGGCAATTTAGCATGAATGTGTAGGTGGCATCAACGTGGGTGAGTTTGCATACTAGCAATATATGACCACAAACAATGGGTTAAGGAGTTTTGAACTTTTTAGAATTTTCCCCCATTTGTTACCCTTAAGACATAAAAAGCCCAATTTCAAATACAATACAACTATATTGTAAAGCTAGAAAACAAACCATTTTTGTATACTGAAGCATTGTAATAATGAAGGCTATTGAGAAAAAAAACTGTATGTTTTAAAGTCCCAAGTTAGCTATTGTTAAGGAAATATTCTTGTAGTTAGTTTGTTTATGGATACATTTTATGGTCCTACATTTTATTTTTATGGTCCTAACCACGATCTCTGTTTTTTCGACCGCCATCGACAAGCCATGGTCCTGCATCCACTCGTTGACACGGAACATCGCTACACCACGTGTAAGCTCTGGTTCTTCGTTGCTTCTGCCTACAACCAGAGCAGCGACGTCGTCAGCATAGCCAACGAGAATATTGGAAATTTAGCACTTCCAATATCCCCAACAGTTTGATACCCGATACATCCCCAAAAGATGTTTCGGCAAAGACGACCGAGGTTCCAACGACGAGGTGGATGGGTTGAGTTGGCATATGGATGCCTGCGCTCAGGAAGTACCCCGAAAACAATTGCCTGGTGATCGCTTGCAGAGTAGTCTTCGGAAACTCGCCAGTCAGTGATCCGACTGGCTAGGCCTTCAGAAGCCAGAGCAATGTCAGAGATCGGTTCTCCACATCCAGGGTGACGGAAAGTGGAGACATTGCCCGTGTTTAGGATATAAAGACCCAGCCTGGCTACCATCTCTAAAACATATCGCCCCCTTGTGTTTGTTTGGGGTAAACCCCATTTCACCGTCCTAGAGTTGAAACCTCCGCAATCACCCCACCAAGAAGTACGTGGATCCAACGTTTATGACTCTTGTCCTCTAGAGAGTCAATTATCCGGTGGTACTCTGCAATGAGCTAGTTAGGTGTAAGGTAGCAGGAGAAGAAAATTAGACCTCTGCTCCACATAAAGGTTTCCCGCACCGGAATCCAAGATCGGTACCTTCCCGGGGTCAAGAACCCAAATGGGCGCTGTCCTGGAAACATCAGGGAACAACTGAGGAGAGCGTCCGTTCTGATATTGCTTACTCAGCAGCAAAATATCGGCGCCTTGCTTGGTTGCGAATTGGTACGCCGACCGTCAGTTGTTCTACTCCTTTGCATTTTTAGCTGAAGGGCGCTGATCATTTCTGGGTGGATTGGCGGATCTTCTGCAGTGCTTGCTTATAAGCAGCACAACGGCTTAATCCCGCAGCGTGCTTGATGGCGTCGTTCTTCAAGCCGACTTCTGTGCATAGGGCCCCCAAAGGCGAGGTAACTGCTCGGTGTCGGAATCGGCATTTCAAGTAGGTCATAGTTATGGACGACTGGGCAAGCCAGCCTCTTTGGGTTTACCCAAAGTGAGAGTACCCAGTGACATTCCCCCATCCAGGTTGTGGGGGGTGTTCAGCTCTGCAAGAGGTGGAAGTGCGCCACCAATCCATCACCTGCCTGTAGCTATGATCCTTTGGGCTTCGGCCCGCTTGTTGATGTGCGACTGGCATTTAGTGTGGCAAATCCTCGACTTTGGAAGTAGCCTTCCTTCAGGTGAAATCGGGCGAGTACCCGTCAGCTTACGGGGACACTCTAGGGGAACGTAACTTTCCGCAGTGTGAGGGCAACGGCTGGGCGCACTCCATCAGCCAATCCCTGTCTCTGAGACCGGAAGGTATGGTTATCTAGAGTGTGGGGGGTTCTCCCTGGAACCTCAATTGAGCAAAGGGTGTCGCCACCTTTGGTGGATAGGTTCATCCAGGTGGGACCCACTTCTATTCCTGCCTCCTTTTGGGAAACCCTGATGGCCTGGCAATGATGTCCCCTTCTTCCTGGCTTTGATGGCGGGTTTTGCCTGTCAGGGATTGGATAGGTCCCGAGTGTTGCTTGCACTAAATGCGTCAGGGCATTCCACTATGGTCCTTCTGAGTTTCGTACCTGGGGGAACCCACGTGAAGTGACGCTTAAACAAGTAGCCGGTATCCCTGGTTAGGATTGAGGGGCAACCCTCTCTCCGAAGGGTTGCTTCGGCAGCCGGTGAGCCTGATGACCTTAAGTCATCCTCCCATGGTGTGCTAAAGGTCGGTGCGTATGCTTCGGCCTACATCATGGGGCCCGGCTAGGTTTAATTATAGGTACCGGGTTTGTAGTCAGGGAGCTTCTGGCTCTTATGACAAAACGAAATGAAATGAATGAAAATGAAATGTGCATAGGGCACAAGATTCAGCGGAGCTGCATACACTGGCCCTGTAGTCATGGCCGCCACACTTGTAGCACATATTTCTTCTGTTGGAAAATTTGCTGCGATTAGCTATGTGGTTGAACCCCAGGCAACACCTGGGGGCCACGAGCTTCTCGTGGACCCGGCATCTCACCCATCCGACCTTTATGAGCCCTTCATCTAGGAGTTTTCTCCCATCTCTAGCACCCAACGTCAATACCGCCATCTTCTGCCTTCGATAGTTAGCCTTCGATACGAAGATCTTCATCTCGGTGGGTTCCCCGAGGACAGACTTGACTGCAGTGGAGACCTCTTCCACAGTCGTGAGTTCGTTGAGGTCCCTCACTTTCAACGTCGACTTTGGCTCGAGAATTCGTACCGAGTTGTTTGCATCAAGGATGGATTGCAAATCAGCCCCGAAATATGCCTTCGTCACGGAGGAATTACCAAGCTCTACTAAGAGGTCACCAGCTCTGGTTTTTCTGAGCGATTTGATGACAGCTCTCTTCTCTTCGGGCTTCGCCTTTTGACGTATCTCACCAAGAACCTCAGCGTATGTCTTACCACTTTCCGGCTTGATTAGAAGAGCGTCAGGGCGTTGCTTAAAGGCTCTCTTTTTCTTGGGCTTCTTTGCCGTCTTGTCACCAGGCTGGACAACAGACTGTTCCATGCCCTGTGCCCCCTAATACCCAGAACGTTCCAGACAAGGCGGAGGGCTCGGCAGAGCCCCCCCCCCAAGGCCGCAGCAGGGCCCTATCCGGTCGCCATCAGGTCATTGCCGGCTAAGCTGATCCGGGCCCCTGTACTATCCGGCAGCCTGGGATGTGCAAGAAAGGCCCAGTTTTTAAGTATTCTCTACCTGAACGGACGTCCAACGCATTGGGAGACAAAAGGACACGGAGCCATACAGAAGAATAAACCAGAGTGATTTGGAAAAAATTTGTCTATTGATTTTAAACGGGAAATGTTGGTATGCAGAGGAGACGCTAAAAGAATGGGTGCGCTACCCCCCCCCCCTTTATTTGACTCTTACGACAAGCATGGGTTACTGTGGTCTATTCTAATGCCGGAGCCGCACAGTGGCGCAGAGCACTCAATTTGTACTATTAACAATTAATCAAACACACTTTTCTCCGTTCTCGTAGCAAATCTTAGTATAGTTGGATTTTTGGCAATGACCGTGTTCAGGCCAGAGTTATGAGCGTGAAAAAATTTAGGGGTGACGAGACTTGGAATTCTTTGGACTCGAGGAAGAGAGATGAGATAAGGCCACGAGCTGAAGAGGGTTAGGGAATACGTGTGCTTTGAAGGACTATTATAACATTATGTAAAGAAATAGAACTAAATTTATAAAGATGTAAAATCAATTTCTTTTGTTAATTTACAGTAACTAAATATTTTTTACTATTTAAATGTAACTTGACTTTTCTAAATTATTGAATAGAGATTGTGGTTCATTTTCTAAGTTCTCATTTGGATGATGCCACTTGTCTTTTACTAAATTTACCTTTAACAGTATTACATGTTTTATCACACCTTGGCATTTTTATGTCTATTTCGCTATTTTACTTTTCTAGAACAACCAAACAAGTGTAGCCTTATTTCAAAAGAGACATGGGATTCGCAATATGTTATTTGTATGAATTTGAACTGTAGGTGTTTTTGGGCTCTGGGGACACTTTAATGGAACAGTAAATCGGTCCTGGCATGAGACATGCAATAATAGCTTATTCCATAAATCGGATAAACGGGAGAACCATTTAAGAATGCAAAAACTGTTCTTACCACCATTTTATTGCGAATTTCGTCTGCGATGTGTTCGTCACCGTAACAATCAGTGAATAAAAGTGCAATTTCTCTTCCCTTGTAGATTTTTTTCCGGTTGGCAAATTGGGTCTGTAACACAATTTTTGTTAAACATTTTCATTATTACAATTTACATATTTTTTTCCATGAAAAGGGCCAATATACCACAGGATTATGGGACGGATTATTTTATTTTATTTTATTACTAGGAAAGTTCCAAAAGCACCACCCTGACGGCTTGCGAAGTTTTAATGCGATATTATGAATACGCCTAATATTATAATTGCGAAATTTATTAACTATTTGAAATGTATTTTGTTGGTGCTTTTATTATTTATGGGTTAATAACTATTTATGCTGCAGATTTATAGAACAAATTATTCTCTTTAGCATTCTTTTCCCGTTACAAAGCATGGGTATGATGGCTAGTAATCCATGTACACTGAAGTTATGCAGACAGCTGTTTGTTTCATGACTTTGCAAAATTATGTAAACATTAATTGTGGAGTTCTCAATCTTATTAAATACTAAGTTTTCGTAAAGTGTTAAAGGTTTTAATCCGTTATTTCTGATATTTTTCCTACAGTCACTATAAAGCATATAAATAATTAGTTTTTTAAACACTAGACAACACGTTCTTAGGTTCAGCTGGCAAGTGGCAACACAAATGGTGCCCTAGAGAAAGTACAACCCGCGGTCCGTATCACTCCACATTTTTTCCTACAGTCACCCGACAAAGTTGGCTTCCTAGTACTGTTTATAGTACAGAAAGCTGCTAATTACTGCATATTCTCGTAAACATTGCTCTCGTGTGCAGCAAAGTGCCACTTACACCACTAGTTACACAAATAACTATTTGTAAATTTAATTATACTTATTGTATTAGAGTCTTTTTTAAAGGACACAGTCTTTGGAGCCTTTGAATACGTTTCAATAAATGTATGTAGTAGTCGTTATTTTATTCCTACTTACATGTTTTTACATTAATTTTAATAATTTCTTGCAAGCTTCTAGTTTTTATTTCTGTTGCAACATAGATTAACCCCCAGGGACATTTTCAGTGTACATCTTTACAAAACAAATTTGTTCTCTACAGTCAAGCTAGGGATGTTGTGCACGAGTCTTCTTTTAAATACAGTGTTTTTAATTATAACCAATTTACATTGTTGCCTCCCGAGGTTACCTATAAAACCCTGCTGTCAGTATAGAAAGCATTACCAGCTGCCAAAGACTAGCCTACTAGTAAACAACACCCTCTCCCAGACGCATAACTAGACTAAAAGACTGCTCACCACCCCATGCGTTAGCTGGGGTTTCACTTGCGGAAAAAACAATTTGTATTACCTAATTAATTAACGTCATAGTTATCCCAACCAAGTTATCAAAGAATGTGCATAAAATGAGGTCACTAACCTGATGTCAATCAATTATATATTTGTTGTAGATGATACATACGAGTATATAAATATAGGATTGATTGACGACAGGTTAGGAACCTCATTTTATTTCAATAAATCAATCCTTGGAGGCAAATTATGTACAATAAAAATGCAATCTTATTCAAGGGTATCCCGAACATCCCCCTACGAATAGAATTACAAAGAATTTAATAGCATACTGACCCCTACACGTATCCTGTCATATTGCACCTGGAAAAATTAAGAACAAAATTACAACAAATAAACTAAATACGCTATCAATCAGTATTAAGGAATAATGTAATTGATAAAGCTTAGACGACTGACATCCACATGTCAAGGAATTCCTGCTTTAACAGCAACCCCACAGCCAAATTTCTCAAAATTATGCTAGAGGTTAATTCATTGGCTCAAAAGTACGGTGTGATGACCGACGTGATGAAGGGAAACATCTAACTTACACAGCTTAAGTGTAGATCTCCCTTTGAAGTAAGAACGTACCTTCTCAACGGATATTTTAAAATCTGCCTAACACTGATGAAATCGCGGAAGGGGTTTACCACAAAAGATCAATCGAAACGATTTTAATACTATCTAAATGTTCATCAAAAGGAGATGAAACCAGTTAACGTAGTAATAAAAACTCCGATGATGTACTGGAAAAATGTTATTCATTGTATAATCATTAATCAAACCATATATTTTGTAACTTGCGCTATAGTCATTTTTATTTTTACACTCATTTCTTACTCATTAAACAAAGCTAAATGTTAGAAGTTTTAATGGTTTCACTCTACTTATCGCAGATAGATAAATTTGCCTTGAATGTAAACATAACCGCAAGTAACCGGTTTCTTCTAGTGATAAATTATTTAAGAAGTTTCGTTCCAAAATTTTGTACAAAGATCTTCTTGTTTTAGTAAAGGACCATTGAAATTTGTATAACCAACACCTGATATAATGAAGATGGCAGAAGATCCAAACAAATATTTTTTATGTGGTTTTCATGGTAAAAAGAAACTAAAAGAAAACAGTCAAAGTTAACTTTCTAGCCTTAACATGAAAAATGTTCTTTGTAAGATTACAAATATTCCACTCACCTCCCAAGTAGGGTTTCCCTTCGCATACGCCTAAAACATATAGCCTATATAATACATTTGTTTACAACATAATTCACTTTATATAACTCAAAAAATATATATATTATATATATATATATATATATTATTTCTTACACTTGACGGTAAGTAAAATCTAAGATGATGTTGATGCAAAACTATTTCTCACACAGGGAGATAACGAGGCATGGAAGTAGTGCATTTCAAAAGTTATGTGTTTAACTATTTAAGAACAAAATTATTACTTGCCAAAAGTAAAAAATAGCATCCGCTTAAAAGTTTATATATATATATATATATATATATATATATATATATATATATATATACTAGCAACAGACCGTTGTGTTCTTGAGTGTGACAGATTGCGTGAAAATATAATAATAATATCTATGGATGGTTCTTACCGTCAACGCAATCAGGGATAATATTCCACTACGGCCGTTTCGGAGATGACTCCATCGTCAGGTGCGTAGTGGTACACTAAACTATAGTCTTGTCACATGTAACACGAATTGTCTTCATTTGCATTGCGTCAGGGGTTTATTATTTATTCATGTGTATTATTTATTTATATTATTTATAATAATTATTATTATTTATATTTATTTATATTTATATTATTTATATATTATTTATATATTATTTTTAATATTATTTATATTTATATTATTTACTTATATGTGTATTATTTATTCAACCCCTGACGCAATGCAAATGAAGACAATGATCGTGTTACATGTGACAAGACTATAGTTTAGTGTACCACTACGCACATGACGATGGAGTCATCTCCGAAACGGCCGTAGTGGAATATTACCCCTGATTGCGTTGACGGTAAGAACCATAGAGACCGTTGTGGTTAAATACAACGGTCTCTAGAAAAATAACAGTTATGAAATCCATGTACAACTTTACTAAAGGCGAGGAAATCCACCAAAGTGGAAGGTGATATTTGAAAGAGAATACAATTTCCTACAAATTGATATCATGCACTTCTTAGAAATACTCAAAAGGGCAGCTAAAAGTTGCATCCAAATAAAAAAATTGAAAACCCCGTTTTAACGTATTTCTTATGGAAAACATGTTTTTTTTATTGCTCAACATAAATCAGAATAAAAACAATCTTTCATGATTATTTGAAAATCTACACAAACTAAGCTTTCTAATGACTCATTAATTAATAAAATCGGTTGAATAGATCTGTAGATTTAGTTGTACAAAGTTAAGGTTTAACACAAATGTATCTCATTATTGTCTCCCCACGATAGAGGTTGCTTAGCTATTTTGCAAATAACTTTTAAATGTTGGGGAAATCGAGCAAAGTGGAAGGTGATATTCTGCAAGAGAATATAGTTTCCTGCAAATTACGACAAAGCACGTCTTGAAATATCCAAAATAGGCAGTCCTATAAGTTTCCAAATAAAAAAAAATGTGAAAAGAACAGTTTTTAATGTATTTATTATTGAAAATATGTTTTATTTTTAAATTTCACCATAAATCAGAATAAAAACAAACTTTCATAATAATTTGCAAATCTACACGAGTTAAGCTTGCTTTTTACAGCCAAAAGTTGCATCCAAATAAAACATTAGAAAACCCCGTTTCCAGTGTATTTCTTATGGAAAACATGTTTTTTTTATTGTTAACCATAAATCAAAATAAAAACAAACTTTCATAATAATTTGCAAATCTACACGAATTAAGTTTTCAAATGACCCAATAATTAAAAAATCGGTCCAGTAGAACTCTAGATTTAGTTGTACAAAGATTTTTAAAACTGAATTATATATTTAGTAGATAAAGTAGATATATATATATATATGGACCCATTAGCACGAAAACTAGAATAATACTCCCGTCGCAGCAAACCTGCAGCAAAATAAAATTTTTCTGAATGGATTTTAACTAAAGTATTTTTATATACATGTCACTAATCCACATTTAAAAATACCTCCGTCGCAGCGAACCTGCATACTAAGCGAATTTCCATTTACCCGGCTTGGTTTCTACTAAAATATTCCCTATAAATTTTCAGATTTATTTCCTACTAGCTGTACCCGCGGGCTTTGCCCCGTTTAACTTCATAAGTATTCGCATGGCTCATTCACGTCCTGGTTGAAGTTCGTTCGCTACGCTCACTCACCTTTAGGTTGGAGCTCGTTCGCTGCGCTCACTTTCCTTCAGGTTAGCTCGTTCGCTACGCTAAGTCGCCTCCAGGTTGAAGTTCGTTCTCTACGCTCACTCACCTTTTGGTTGGAAATAAGCTGTTGTCATAAAAAAAAAAATAATAGTGCTGCACCCTGTTGGTAATCCTTGTAACTTTTATGCTATTGAACATCATAGAACAGAACCAAATTGTTTAATTGAAACAGCTGTTAAGATTCATTAATTCCTTTTAAATATGAAAAACCATAAGGTTAACATGGGGAACTACAGAGCCACTGGGGCGGAGCCCGAAAGGATTTTTGGGATAATAATATGATTTAATGATAATCGGGAATGTGAGCTATCATCATGCCAAATTTCAGCCCAATCTGTCCAGTAGCTTAAGCGTGATTGAGCAACACACACACACACAAACTCACAAACTTTCAGATTTATATTAGTACGATTTAAATAATGTAAATTTTAGTGAGTAGTTAGGTTTGCTGCTATGGGGAAAGTGTTGAGGTGTGTTTTATCAATTGAAATATTGATAGCTTAGTATGAAAAAAGCCAAATTGCCAAATTTGATTAAAATATATCCATAAACAAGCAAACTAGATCAGTTTATTTATTCTCCATAAGAATAACATAGGAATTTTAAATTTACAATTTTTTAAATTTTCTCCGTAGTCAATGAACGTCCAAAAAAACTTCAAAATACTAAATTATTTGTTTTTTTAAGCTCTTCAAAATGGTATAGAGAGAAATTTAGAAATTTAAAGTTTTTTGGGTCAAAAATGAGAAAAACCCATTTTACCCCATAAAATCCCCTATAAACCCCTGATCCCATAGTCCGATTATGCTGGTTCGCGAACTCGTTCGAATAAATGTAGGTTTACACGTTTGTACCAAATTTCATCAAAATCGGATTAATTTTACTTGAGTTATCGCGCTAACGGACACGTAAATAAATATATATTGAATATTTAAGTAAATAAGTACAACTGAGCACCCTGAATATTATATTTTATCAAAAGAATTGACATGTTTCGGACATAAGTCCATTTTTAAACTTCAAAATACATTAAACACTTAACTGTTGTTTATATTGTTTTTTTTTTTTGTAAATAAATATAATTTATATATACAGATGAATTATAGAACTAGACAGGATTTGGAAAAACATTTTTGTTACTGATTATTTAATTTTAAAATTTGGTCAAAAATTGGGTTTCTTGAAGGAATTTGGCTATTTAAAATATGATTTGGATTTTTTAGATTTTCTTCGTATATGAAATATTCTTCAATTGAATCCATTCGATTTCCTTTGTTTAAAACTTTTATAATTCATTTCATTTTATAATTTTACAATTTTTTTAAATGAAACTTCTCTTTTCCAAGCTAATTATAAAGTTCTATAATTCATCTGTATATATAAATTATATTTATTTACAAACAAACAATATAAACAACAGTTAAGTGTTTAATGTATTTTGAAGTTTGAAAATGGACTTATGTCCGAAACATGTCACTTCTTTTTATAAAATATAATATTTAGGGTGCTCAATTGTACTTATTTACTTAAATATTCAATATATCAGCAGCCCTATCACGTGAACACCTAAATTAAAAAATATATATATATGAATTTGAACTGGTGTTTTTGGCCTCTGGGGACCTCAAAACGAAAAAGTAAATCGGTCCCGGGTCTAGGTCTTACCATGAGACCTACGGTAATAGCTTATTCCCTATATGGGAAATTCGCTAATACCTTTAGGCTGCTATAAGGAAAAGAAAAGTTTCATTAAAAAAAAATGTAAAATTTTAAAATGAAATGAATTAATTTGCCAAATTTAATCAAAATAAGATATCTATAAACAAACAAACTACAGCAGTTTTATTTTTATCCGTAATAATAACATGGCTATTTAAAATGTAATGTTGCTTGGAATATTCTCTGGGGCATCTAATTATTATACAACAATGTTTCAAATACGCATGTTTGTTTTTTAAGCTATAAGCCTACATAATGAAAATTGGATATCTCCTAGTTTTGAAAAGCAAAATTTAAAAGCAAAATTTAAAAAAATTTTAAATACCTATACACACTGTTTGCACAATAACACTACATATGAACTTAACAAAGTTTTAAATATTTTAATCTCGAAACGGTTCAAACCCTTGTCAGTCTTATAAAAATCCATGTCTTATTTAGTCTCATAAACTACCAAACCACAATTAACATTGGGTGTGTTGCTATCCTAGTGGTTAGCGTTTCGGACTTCGGTGCGGGAGGGACGGGTTCAATCCCCGGCACATCCACAAAACTTTAATGGGTTTGGACCGCTTTCCCTTAAAAGTGTTTGACTTCATACTTCATTGCCACTGGCGTAGATACGAGCAAAAAAAAAACATACACCACAAAAATATAACAAAAATACATTTATTTTGTTTAAACCAAGTCAATACATTAAAAAAGTATATTTCAGCGGAGCGAGTGAATCTATTTAAGATCAGACCTCATGCGAGCTATTTAATTAAACCACTTAATAGCGGCTGTACATATTGAATTAAAACATGTTACAGATATTCTGACAAACAGTGTTCTTGTTATTTAACAAACAATTGTCAATTTGTGAATGCCTTTACCATTTAAAACAAACATAACAGTTTTTAATTTTTAACATCACCATTATGGATAGCTAGCATGGTTACAAGACAACGACGTATATGTAAAAACGAATCATAGCATATATACATACAGTGCAAATGGAAAACCAATTGGATGAAAATCATTGATCAAAGTATACACAGAAAGTATTACAGGGAATTTGTATGATACCACTGGTTAAATAGGTGCACTATATTACTGTACTGATTTTATCTATCTAAATTGGATCTAAAAAAATAATTTACATCAGATGGAAAACTGCCAAGCTAATGTTTATCCAAAGCTACAATTAAGATATTAGAAAAACTTTGTTTTACTATTGAACAAAATTATTTACTGGTTTAGAAACATGATTCGTGCTGGAAATGTGAGCTTATGTTGGGTAAATGTTTTTATAAGCATAACAAATAATATTGATCCATAAAAATGGGAATTATAAAATACTTTTAGAATCAGCAGTTTTATCTTATTAGCAATAATACAATGAAAATAATGGCTATTTTCAGGTTATTTTTATAAACGAGAGGTTTTATTATTGACTTTAGCCAGTGCAAGTAGACTTCCTCTCCCTAAAGTAAAATCAAAATCTGAATCCTTAACGAACAGAAAACAGATTGTGGAGACGGTTGAGCCCGCCGATGACGACTAGATTAAACAAATATTTTGATATCAAAAATAGTATTGATCTTATGTTTATGGGAATTAAATATGCAATTTAAATCAACGGTTTATTAACTAATCAGCACATTGTACAATCAATAAGCATCTTGATAGCTATTACAGTATTGATAGCTGATAAGCTTTTAGAAACAAATATAACAAAACGTTTTACCAATAAATTTGAACATTGAAATAAACTTTTCATCCTGTTGGCAGCCTGTTGAGGGTGGAAGAATGTATGTACTGGTGTTATTTTAGTGTGTTGATATTGACTTAAATGGTATAATGGTTATATAAAATGGCTAATTAGATAAAACTGCTAAATGCAAAATGCTTTTTTATAATTCCCATTTGTATAGATAAATATCGTTTGCTATGCTAATCATTTTCCCGACATAAGCTCACATTTCCACCATCAATCATGCTTTAAAACCATTAAATAATTTCAGTCAATAGTAAAACATGACTTGCTTGTATAAACTGTAAACATACATTGACCTACTGTTTTTGTTTTTATTTTGAAAAAAAAAAACAATTTAAATAATTATAATCACTATCATGTGTTTTCACTGGGAACCATCACACACAGGGTAACACAGGGGGTCATCAGGGGGGGGGGGTCAGGGGGGGGGTTGGTAGGGGTTTTATGGGGTTTAAATTGGTTTATCTCATTTTTGAACACCATAGCATAAAATTTCCCGATTTCTCTTAAAAAACTAATGATTTTGTATATTTAAGTGTTTTAACGGTTATTGGCTACGTAGAACATTCCAAACAAATTGTAAATTTTAAATTCCCATTTTATTCTGATGGAGAATAAGTAAACTGTTGCAGTGTGCTTATTTATGGATATATTTTGATCAAAATTGGCAAATGTATTTTATACTAAGCTATATTCGAAAAAAAAATTATTACCATTGTTCTAATTATTATTACTAAATTATTACCCTACCTGTAGCAGCAAACTTAAGTACTTGTTTAACATAATGTTATTTAAATATATTTATTTGAAAATCTCATTAGGCAAATGGAAATTTGCTTAGTCTACAGGTTTGCTGAGGCGGGGGTATTTTTTTTTTTTTTACTTAGCTTTATTCGCATTGTATGTAGATAATATATTTAGATTTTTGTTTAATAGACAATTTAAAGATTTAAAGCTATAAATTATCAATAGTAATACCATAGTTTGATTTACAGTATTACGACCAAAGATGTAGTGTAAAACCTCTTTTACAAAATAAACATAATTTTATCATCAACTATCTAGTGTTGTATTCAAGTATTTATTTTTTATGTAAGTCAACAGAAAACTACTAAATTTATAAATAGTAATTTGATTTTTTTAATCGGTGAAGTAATTGCAATGTAAAAGAGTAAAAGTGAGAAGGTTAGCTAGTAAAGAATAGGATACTTGAAGCGGGCTCAGTTTGTTGTTAGATCAATTACTGGACTGCAACATGGAATCAAAAGAAAAAAAATATCTGTTTTAAACAATTCCGTAATAAAATTATTTTGGAAATAAAATTTAATATGAGTTTGGTTATACCATGGGGTCAAAAATTTTAAAATGGACCATGAATTACAGATAAACAATAACGTTTTGTCAATGGGGACAAGAATCTAACATAGAGATACAAATAAATAGCAATAAGTTTTATATCGTCAAAAATCTCATTTCACTGGTTTCGAAATTGAATCTGGTTATGGAACATGGAAAGTTATAGAAAGTTATACAAGCTATAACTTATTTACTATAACTATAAACTAATGGACTAATAATAAACAAATAAACTATAACTATATAGAGATGTAGATCCCGCCTTAATATTTTTTTCCTGGTGACATTTTAGAAAGGTGATGAATGTATGTAGTTTTGTGAAATTAATAGAAAATATGTCGGGTGAATAAATTAAAATAGTGGAAATTGAATGACCATACTCACTCGCCAAGTGCCATCTTCAGGATGTTCGGGATCCATTAGAGTCTGAAAAACAATACTTAATAGTTATTTTAACAGTTTTTAATTTCTTATAAAAACTAAAAGTTACAGATTAGACATAGGTGTATTGATTTATAATTGTTATCATGTTGGTGTAGGAAGATTTATATAAAAACAAGGGAATGTTAACGCCCTCACTCGAGTAAAAAAATAGGCCTACTATTTTTAATTTAAACATTTGTTACTAAAATTTATCAAACTTACTTTTTAAATTGGCAGGTTTTAAACAACTTACGTTCGGTATTTGAACAGTTTCCCACTGTAAACAAAAGAAACACATGTAAATAACATTATACCTCCGATGAAAAATTGCAACTTATCTAATCACTATCATTTGGTATTTGGGTTGATGTTTAGATTATGAACCACAAAGTCTGGGACTTAGATTTAGCTTAAAGGGATACATTTATTTCTGTTAAGTTATAATACTATACGCAACGATTGCATGATTATGTTAAGATAATCATATAAAAATAGTACATGACTATCTAAACATGAACATGATATATAAATATGAAACATGACGGTATCTTTTACCGTCATTTTGACGGGCTAATTACGCGAGTTGCTTACCCTATTAATGCGAAGGGTATTAATATTGACGAAAATAAGAATTACATAGTAAGGTATCGTCTCAGAGTGTAACGCCAAGGGTATTAATACGTATATTTGACGAACATAAGAATTACGTAGTAAGGTATCGTCTTACAGTGTAACGCAAAGGGTATTAATACGTAAATTTGACGAACATAAGAATTACATAGTAAGGTATCGTCTTACAGTGTAACACTAAGGTCGTTAATACATAAATTTGACGTACATAAGAATTGCATAGTAAGGTATCGTCTTACAGTGTAACGCAAAGGGTCTCAATACGTAAATTTTACATACATAAGAATTACAGAGTAAGGTATCGTCTTACAGTGTAACACTAAGGTCGTTAATACATAAATTTGACGAACATAAGAATTACATAGTAAGGTATCGTCTTACAGTGTAACACTAAGGTCGTTAATACATAAATTTGACGTACATAAGAATTGCATAGTAAGGTATCGTCTTACAGTGTAACACTAAGGTCGTTAATACATAAATTTGACGTACATAAGAATTGCATAGTAAGGTATCGTCTTACAGTGTAACGCAAAGGGTCTCAATACGTAAATTTTACATACATAAGAATTGCATGGTAAGGTATCGTCTTACAGTGTAACACTAAGGTCGTTAATACATAAATTTGACGTACATAAGAATTGCATAGTAAGGTATCGTCTTACAGTGTAACGCAAAGGGTCTCAATACGTAAATTTTACATACATAAGAATTGCATGGTAAGGTATCGTCTTACAGTGTAACGCTGAGGTCGTTAATACAAAAATTTAACGTACATAAGAATTGCATAGTAAGGTATCGTCATACAATGTAACACTAAGGTCGTTAATACATAAATTTGACGTACATAAGAATTACATGGTAAGGTATCGTCTTACAGTGTAACGCTGAGGTCGTTAATACAAAAATTTAACGTACATAAGAATTACATGGTAAGGTATCGTCTTACAGTGTAACACTAAGGTCGTTAATACATAAATTTGACGTACATAAGAATTGCATAGTAAGGTATCGTCATACAATGTAACACTAAGGTCGTTAATACATAAATTTAACGTACATAAGAATTGCATAGTAAGGTATCGTCACACAATGTGACGCAAAGGGTATCAATACCTAAATTTTACGTACATAAGAATTACATAGTAAGGTGTCATCTTACAGTGTAACGCAAAGGGTCGTTAATACATAAATTTGACGTACATAAGAATTACATAGTAAGGTATCGTCTTAGAGTGTATCACAAAGGGTATTAATACGTAAATTTTACGAACATAAGAATTGCATAGTAAGGTATCGTCTTACAGTGTAACGCAAAGGGTATTAATACGTAAATTTGTCGAACATAGGAATTGCATAGTAAGGTATCGTCATACAATGTGACGCAAAGGGTATCAATACGTAAATAAGAATTATAGTAAGGTATCATCTTACAGTGTAACGCAAAGAGTGTCAGTCCTTGATGTTTTATTAACCATATTATTTGTTATGTTGTCTTCTTTAAAGCTCAAGTTCATTTGTAAAGATACGTACTAATAAAGATAAAGATAAAAAGACAAAAGTGTTATTTATTATTATTTTAAAAATAAATTTTTATTTGCATTATACAGGGTGGCTGAAAAGTAACTTGCACCCCCACTTAACTTTTCAACCATTTGAGATATTTGAAATCGGTTTGTGGCAACCTTCTTAGATATGAGGGGCTACAATAATTATGGTCAATTTTGAAAACTTTTCCCTTAGGGGTGTGGGGGTAGGGGGTAGCTCAAAAACTTCAAACGACAAGTATAGTCGAGTTTGGTATCATTTTACAGGTCTTGACGAAACATGAACATTGACATAAAGGAAGCAGAAATCGGCTCACTAATAACAAAATAGTGCCCTAAAACGTTTCAAATCCAAATAACCATGAGGGTGGCAAAAAAATTTACTTGTACCCTCTTTAACTTTTTAACTATTTGATATATTTGAAACCGGCTTGCGGCAACTTCTTTGGAAATGAAGGGTTACAATGATTATGGTCAGTTTTGAAAATTTAGCCCTTAGTATTGAGATGTATAATGGTTTTGCCGTTGGAATGAAATAAAATAAAATAAAATAAAATAAAATAAATAAAGTAATTTTGAGCTGCCATTTTGTTATCAAGTATCTCAAATGGTTGAAAAGTTAAGTGGGGGTGCAAGTTACTTTTCAGCCACCCTGTATAATTAATAATTTCAAATTTTATAGTATACAAGCAGAGTACCCGTCCTTCGTAAGGGGGTGGCATATAAGTATATTTATGCCTAATGCAGTTTTACTCAAGCGTTGCGTTTGCAATGGGGGAGGAAACAGTTTGATAAAATTTGCTTATTTAAATTTACAGTATATACTATAGTATTACACATCTACCATAGCCATAATGCTCTACCACTTCGCCTAAACAAAAAGGAAAAAAATATTAAAAATTCGAAAAATATCACAGATTATTCATGAAATTTAAAACATAAACATAACTGTAAACAATCCTACTTTGACAGTTCTCATTGCATATTACAGTTGAAATTAGCTGTTTTCATAAATGCAAAAAAAAAAAAATAGTGCAGCACCCTGTTGGTAAATCTTATAACTTCTTAGCTTTTGCGTACTATAGAACCAACTTTTTTAGTTGAAAAAGCTGACTAAATTCTTTAATTCTTTAACCCTACTTTAGTTGTTTTCACTGTAAGATAATCAATATGTTTTATCAATTAAGATTAATTTGACTTGGCTAATGCATGTATATGTTGATCTGGCCTAATAAATGACTTATTGACTTATTCCCTTTAAATATGAATACTCGTGAGATAAGAATATGCCTATATGTTAATCGGGAGTGTGAACTATCATTACGCCAAATTTCAGCCCTATCCGACCAGTAGTTAAAGCGTTATTGAACTTCAGACAAACAAACGAACAAATTTTCTCGTTTCATTTTAGTAAGATATATTTTTCTGTAATATTTTCAGAATACTGATAGGACACAAAAATCTTTTTAACGTTTATGAAAGCTCATTTTTGTGTTGAAATCCATTGTCCGTAGAGATTAAGGGACTTGTGATCCGTAATTTTTAGGATACCGACACCTAATATTTTTTTTTTTTTATTTAAAAAAAGTAATTTTAAAACTTCAAGATTGAAATTTAAAATGTCAAAAGTAAAGAAAATAGATAAGTAAATAACAGATACGAATTTGAAAAAAGTATATAAACATGTAATAACTAAGCTCGATTAGATTTGTTCATATTTGCCTAAACAGGAATTTAGAATTAAGAAAATCCGTTATTTACCTGATTTAAAGGCCATACACGCTCATCAAATGAAGTGTACGGTTGAACTTTGTTAAAATACTAAAAATGTTTATATTTTTGTTCTTTCCCTCTTGCAAAGCACAGGTCAGGTACAACAGCTAGTTCATAATGAATTCCCAACAACACTGAACCATGTAAACAATAATGCATCAACGCTAGATCCGATATTAAGTAATGAGGTGAAGAACCAGGTCTGCCAACTCTTAAGTTTCTTTAACTCTATTTCAGTTATATTGGTGACCCTATTGCTTAACTTGCAATTTGGGATTGGGTAAAAGAAACCAACTTGTATTTTACAAAACAGTTAGTACAAAAATTACAACCCTAGATTAAACCAGGTCTTTGAGGAAGATTTCCACAGGGGATGTAGATTGTTGAATATTTTTCCCTGCAAGACAACAGAATATTGGGTTTAACTAGTGGAAATACTAGCTTCAGATTTTCTTGCAGCAATTCATGTTATGTTTTTATCTTCAAATCCTCAATAGTAACCAAATAAAATGCAATTTAGCCGAATTGCCATTCATTTGAAACCTCGGCTAGTATTTACATCAGTTTGGCTACACAGTCGTCTACCGTACACCAAGCAATGATAGACATAATCCTACTATCATCAATGCTCTAATTAAAAAATTACTAATACATTATAGAAATTTGAATAAACACATTCTTTAAATTGCATAATATAATATTGTATTATATACCTTTGGATTTGCTTGTTCTTCTCCTAGTACCGGTATCTTTTGTGTTGCATCAATCTCCCATTGTAGCAATGCCTTAAATAAATAATTGCATTAGTCAATAAAGTAAAAGATTCCTGGTTCCTGTGGATTCTGACTGAAACTTCTCGGTGCGCCTGTGACCCATGTCCTTACCTCTCTGTATACAGATATTTCTAAGGTGATTTACAGGGACCCAGATCCTTACCTCTCAGTATACAGATTTTTTAAATGTGATTTACAGGGACCCAGATCCTCACCTATCTGTATACAGATATTTCAAATGTGATTTACAGGGACCTAGATCCTCGCCTATCTGTATACAGATATTTCAAAGGTGATTTACAGGGACCCAGATCCGTGCCTCTCTGTATACAGATATTTCAAAGGTGATTTACAGGGACCCAGATCCTTACCTCTCTGTATACACATATTCCAAAGGTAATTTACAGGGACCCAGATCCTTACCTGTCTGTATACAGATATTTCAAAGATGATTTACAGGGACCCAGATCCTTACCTCTCAGTATACAGATATTTCAAATTTGATTTACAGGGACCCAGATTCTCGCCTATCTGTATACAGATATTTTAAAGGTGATTTACTGGGACTTAGATCCGTGCCTCTCTGTAAACAGATATTTCAAAGGTGATTTACAGGGATCCAGATCCGTGCCTCTCTGTATACAGATATTTCAAAGGTGATTTACAGGGACCCAGTTCGTGCCTCTCTGTATACAGATATTTCAAAGGTGATTTACAGGGACCCAGATCCGTGCCTCTCTGTATACAGATATTTCAAAGGTGATTTACAGGGACCCAGTTCGTGCCTCTCTGTATACACATATTTCAACTGTGATTTACAGGGACCCTGATCGTTTCTTTACTGTGCAAATTTCAAGTGGTGTAAGAGTTCTGCCAAAACATTCCAACAGCAACATTTTTAGAAAATATTTTTATAACATAGCTATGGTTAAAGTTATAACATGATCGACAGATTGGTAACCAAAAATAAGAAGTAATGGCCTGGAAATAATCATCTGCAAAATAAAAAGTATGTAAGTGTGGTATACTCACATTATATTCATACGTGCTCACGAAAGAGCTAAAGAAACACGACATTGAATTGGATTTTAAGACGAAAAAAATAAGAAACTGATTCATTCAAGTAAAGTAGGTGAAATATGTGCAAAAGGTCAGGCGTTTATAAAATCGATTTTGCAAGCTGTCCGAGCATATAGCGAAGACTGGACGTTCATTCAAAACCAGATACAAATAGCAACATCCATTTCCTAGAGCCGACAAACAAAAGTCATCCTTTGCACAGAGCTTGGCTGACAAAAATCACGATGTGAACTATCTGAACACTGGCTTAGAAATACTCAACACAAGTAAGTAAGGTAATAGACCGGTCACCCTAAAAGAATATGAAATTTATAAAGCTTACACTAATAACAATATGGAAGATATGTTTTTAAACTACGAACTACAGTAAATCGCATTTTATATTCAATACCATTTTGAATGATAAAGGAACCCCAAGCCAGGAGTACAAATTTTAAATGATAATGCCACCACAACGGGCACGACATAGGAATCCTATAGTCGACGGCGTATTGCTCGTGCCAGGAAAATGTTAACCATCACAGATTGTACGACAGGCCTGTTCGTTTTTTGTTAATTCTTGTCGTAATTTCGTTCGTGTGCGTTATGTGTTTAGACTTCAACGATGATACTTCAGCCGAGATTTTGTGTCTGACGATGGTATTGTGATGCCGAAACGACCGTAACCAACGCAGTTACACCATTTTAACTGGATTGACGAAAGTAAAGCCCATTTTTAGTTGCGTTACTGCTTAGGGGCTAAAAACATGAATTTTGATCATGTATTTATACTAGGGAAAGCTGCTAGTAGATTTTACATTACAATATTGTTAATGTATTAGCCTTCTTTCACACCAGAGCGGTGCGGCACCGTCCCGCACTGTCGATGCGGGACGACCCGCAAGGCTCACACTAGCTGCCCGGATCCGGGCGTTTCCAGGCTGAAACTTTGTGATTTTAGGATGTATTTTGTTTAAATAAATAAAAGAAAGATGGTTATGCTACTTGTTGTATCCGAAAATAAATTACAGTGCCCTCTTGCCAACTAACTTGCGAAAATCTGTCATTACATGGTTAGCTTATTACGGCAATAGAATGTTTACTATGTGAAAGTAATGTTTACTATCCGTTTTGGATTTCACCGACGTAAACAAACAAATATTTGTTATTCTTTTATCGACTGTTTTAATTTTCAACAAATAAAGTAAACATTAATTTTAAATTGAAGGCATAACCTAAAACATTCTATGAGCTTTGTAATGGAAAAATAACTATTCTTTGTAGTGCAGCGAAAAGTAACGTTAAAAACACAACGGAAAGTGGGTCTATACTTATTCTCTACCATTTAAAGTGATCGATAAATCTCGCATTGTAACAAATGTAATGACTCACTTACTACTCTTTTTATGAAATATACTATAACATCTGGGGCTTTCATTGCACTATATAAATCTGGGGCTTTCATGAAGATAAAAACGCAGCACAGTCTATAAGCACAATTCAGAGCGAAGAAAAAAGCTCAAATACTAACGCAAGACGTAGTTACACAGAAGTTCTAAGATCAACTAAAACCAAAAGTGTTCGTGCTGGTGGCGGGCAGCTACATGACACAAAACGCTACCCACCATTGCAGCCGAAAAATGATAGGGTTGTACGGAGTAACAACAACCGAAACCGAAATGAAAGTTATGGAAATGAAAATCGAAATATGGCTGCCGATCCCAAATCGGATCAAGATTCTCGAGTTAAAGAACGCCAAGATCGCCAAGTAATTATCGGAACAAGTACTTGTACGAGTCTATGTGCAGGAGTGAAGAAGGCTTGGGTTTATTTGGGACGGTTAAAGGAGGAAACCGGTGAAGAAGACGTCAAAAGATTTCTTCAAGAAACCTTTAATGGTATCTCTTCATTCATGAAGAGAATCCAGCAGTGGTGTGTATTAGTGAGCATCACGTTAACCATCTTGGCATCTTGCAACTGGATGGTTTTGTGTCGGCAAGTTCGTACTGTAGATCTGAAATGGAAAGAGGTGGAGTGGCCCTCTTCGTTAAACCAGACGTTTCCTTCTTCCAAATAAATGTCAGTAATTACTGTGTTGAAGGTGTTTGTGAACTGGCGGCAATTTCTGTTGAACTTGACAGTTCAAGGCTTCATATTGTTTGAGTATACGGACCCCCCTCTAATTGTAAGGAAGTCTTCTATGAAAATGTATATAACTGTCTCTCACAGGTCATGAAAGGTAGTGCAAACACAATTGTCCTAGGTGATTCTAACATTGACTTATCGGTTTCTTCTAATGGCTCCAAAATGATTTTGAACTATATGTCTTCTTTTGTTCTTCGCCAAACAATTAGTTCATTTACTCGTAAGTTTAAGGAGTCTAAAACCCTGATTGATCACATTTACACAGATGTGCCTGAATCCTGTTTTTCCAGTTCGGTTATTGTGTCATACCTGAGTGACCATCACGCTCAAGCTGCTATTCTGGGTTCTCATCCATCTCCTAAGTTTTCTCCGACTCTTTTCTGCTACAAGCGCAGTTTTTCAGAGGAAAACATCAGGCTCTTTAAGTTTTACTTGAGTGAAGAAAAATGGGCTGATATGATCTCATTGACTGACTTAAATGCAAAGTTTGAGCTGTTCTTGAGTTACATTGCCTATTATTTCAACGTTTCTTTTCCCTTAGTTAGGAGAAAGGTCTCCACAAGGAATAGCGACAAGGGTAAGATCAAACTCGATGATGAGGCAATAATGGTAAAGGATCAGTTAAGATCTTCTTACTTGGAATCAAAAGATTTGCCTTCTTCCCATCTTCTTAGGCAAAGGTATCTTGGCCTCAAAAAACTTTTTCGCAATCTTATTTTGAAACTTAAGTCTGATAATGTGGCAAAACAGCTTAAAACTTCTTCTAATAAATCAAAAACACTTTGGGGAATTGTCAATAAGAGTCGAGGTTCTCAGATCTTTAAAGAGTACCGTAAACCAGCGATTCGTAATAATGTGGGTGAGGTTGTCAACGATCCGTCAGAGGTGTGTAATATATTCAATAATTATTTTCTCAATATCGGTGACAAATTCGATAATGCTTCGACAGCTTTCAGCTCCTCGGTAGCAAACACTTCGCCTTTGAATTCTTTCTTCTTGTCACCTACAACCCCCAAAGAGGTGGCCGAATCAGTTCACAGCATGAGAACAAAGTATTCTGCTGGTTTGGACGGAATATCATCTGCCTTGATGAAAAAAGTTGCACAAGAGCTAGCTGAGCCTCTTTGTGATTTGATTAATCACTCATTTTCGATTGCGACATTCCCTGATTGTTTGAAACTTGCTATGGTTACCCCCCTGCATAAAAAAGGATGCAAACTAGACTGCTCAAATTACAGGCCGATTTCAAAAATTTCTACCTTCTCCTAAGTTGTAGAAAAAATTGTATTAAATAGGATTTGGAGTTTCTTGCAGCGCAACAAGTTAATGTTTTAACATCAATATGGGTTTACCCGAGGGAAGAGTACAGTTGATGCTATGTTTTGTGTCGTACAAAACATTGTTGATACTGTCGACTCGGGCAACCGCTCCAGTGGCTTGTTATTTGATCTAACTAAAGCATTTGATTTGGTAGACCATAGTCTTCTGCTAAATAAAATGTTCAATATGGGGATTAGAGGTAAATTGCACTTCAGTGGTTTCAGTCATATCTGGTCGAAAGGGTGCAATTCGTCAAGGTAAATTCCGTTGATTAGTCGAATAACAAAAAATGCAATAGGGTTTCAAAAAAAGGAACTGTCAATAAAGGCATGCCACAAGGCTCAATTTTGGGCCCTGTCCTTTTTTTGTTATTTATCAACGATCTTTGGCAGGGCTTGTCTGTTCCAAACTTGTGCCTCTATGCTGATGACACGTCATTAACGTTTTCTAGCCCATCAAGAAACCGCCTAGAACTTGATACGTTCTTA